AAAATATGGTAACAATATACATAAAGATGAATAGTGATTAGATAATGAAAGCTTAATGTGGACTACTAGTATTACCTCTGAGTTATTTCACTTTAATGGTAAAATATAAAAAAATATATAAAGATTAATCATAAAATCAAAAATAGGATATTTGTCCAATAATTTAGCGAATTCTCCATTTCTTCGAATTATTGGACATCATAATGGTGCATGGATGCAATGTGTAAAATATTTAAAAAATGCTCATTCTTGTTGAGATCATGTTTGCCTGTACAACATTTACACGTTTCTTGATAACCACTACTGATAACAAATATACGAATATTTGATGTATTGAGTCCTTATCGAAAATAGCACACAAGTGCATGAGTTTCTGGCAGTGTGTTCCAAAGACTTGATAGAGCTGGCAATTGCACATAATAGATATGCAATTAAAGGAGCATCAAATAGCGAATTATCGCTTTAAGGAAGTCAAGTCAAACTAAACTTATTCGTTTTAGTAAGATTAGCATGGGTCCTCAACATACCAAAATTATTCACAACCTAATGCTAAAGAACAGTTTCTTGAATAAAAAAATTGACCCTTGTTTTTTATTTCTTGGAAATGGAACCAGTCTAAAAGTTTGAAGGCGAGCAGCTCGTGATCTTTCAAACCAATTTCACCCAGTACATACGATAGCTGCATTCAAAACTAGGATTTGAAGTAAGCTAGGATTGATCCCAAATACTGTCCTATTTTTAAATATTAGAATCGTTTTGCTAACCAGAAAGATCGTATAAAAATGATATACAATCTGCTCCTGACAGAAATGTCTAGACATAGTTAAACTTGTGGCCAAAACCTTTTAACTGAATATCATGATGAAAACAGCGAAGATGAAAAGACTGGAATGTTTCTTTTCTGCTTTCATTCCTTCTTTTCAACATTTTCTTCTTTGAGACTCGTGTTAATAAACGCGAGCAATAAAGAGGCAGATATGTATATAGCCTCAGGGGCGGTACCACAGGATGGACTGGGGTGAGCATGACCACCCCACTATTTTAAGGTCGATTTCCTCATTTTTCAAAACTGAATTAAAAACATAAAGGGTGAGGATGTAAGTTTTCTTCTCTGAGATCTTAACTTGTTTTCATTTTGATAGTCAGTTGCAGTTCTTTCCAGACCTTAGCTGACTTGGAGAAGGGTGTGTTGGATCATCGGGTCGGAAATAATCAGAAATTATAATGATGTTTTATAAAACAGAGCTTTATCTTGCTAAAAAGTTGGTTTTTAGAGTGTGGTCTTTGCCTTCCTTCCTTGTTAAGTTGGAAACACTTTTTAAGCTTCAAGAATAGTAAAGTTGCAGTCCCATCTGTCACAGCTGGATCCTGCGAAAGGGCACACAGCAAGGTAAAGATCATCAGCAATTACCCTTCAGCTTCAATTTTTATTTAACTCTTCTACTCAGTGAAATCGAATACTTCTATTGAGGGTTACAAAATTATTCAAACTTGGTTATCAGGAACGAGCAAAATTTCTCATCAGGTGTTGCACCGGTATTTTTACCACGACCCCATTGTAAGCTCCGCCCCTACATTGTTCACCCCACAATTTTGGGTCTGGCGCCGCCCCTCATAGACCTGTCCTCAATATATTGGCAATCAAAAATTATGCCTCCATGCTCATTGGCAAAATTGGGCAAGGGTGATGCATCGTTTTGTCTTGTTTATAAATGTCATTGTTTTTGTACACGTATAGTAATATTATTGGCTTTGAGAAAAGCAAACATTTTGAAACACGTCACTAAAGCTTTTCGTCTGACATTCTTCAGAGTAGAAAACGTCAGAACATAGATCGAAAAGTCTACGCTAGGAAATATATATATATACCCAGTTGTGGATCGAAACAGGTCAGACAGAAAAGGGACCACGACTGTTTAGGTTGCCCAATCACTCCCGCTTGCCTATTGAAAATGTTATCAATGGTACCCTAAGGCGAAACGAACTCCTTCTGCCTACACAGTAACAGGGCCGCCGAACGCAGGTTTGAACAGGAGGAAGGGGTGTGGGAGGCAAAATGAATAAAAAGGGCACGAGCATTTATTTTTCCGTAACATTGGTTGTTCCAAAAAAGGTACAGCTTTTATAGTAAAACTTAAAAATCTATGATTCGTATCTTTTTAATACGTTGCATGAACTTTTCTTTCTAATTTTTATTGTAAGTTGAGATGGCTTTTTCAAATCTGATGCTACCATCAGAAAGAGCTTGCAAAACTAAGCAAAATATTTAAAAAGAACAATGTGGTCTGACATATAAGCAAAATGTTATGGCTGTTGAAACTTTTCGTTTTGTCAAACAACTTCGTGCATGTTATAACAATAGCATGAAGTTTGGTACAAGTACACAATCCGATATGCTGAATAAGATTAAATTCATATCAAGCTTCAAAAATGCCCCCAAAAGCTATTTGTAGACTCGGGTACTGGTACCCAGCTCTCTTTTAGGTATAGCGCTACAACGTTTTAACTTTGCAAGCAATAAAACTGATATTTTTTCTGGCGTCATTTGACGTACTGAATAAAATGAGATGCAAAACAGCTTTAAAAGCAATTTTTAGGCTACCGTACTTGTACCCAGTCCTATATTGAAAAATATGCTTATTCCCTTTGAGAGTTTATGTGTTGATGCTCAGCAATATCCTACACATTTCTTTCTAATTTTCATGGATTATAAGTGTTTCTTATTAAAGCTTACCTAAAAAGACTTGGCAAACTACTCACAGCTCAACTGGCAAAAAACAAACAACGATGTCTCATCAGGGGCGACCGGGAGGGTGCGGGGGGTGTCATACCCCCTTAATAGTATCTCAATAGGAAATTTCAGGTAAAATCCGCTCGGTGGAAGAAACGCTTTAGGTATTTCAGAGACCTTCATGTCATAAAATCAGTAAAGGATCAAGCAAAGGTAGTTGCTCCGTTGGTTAAATATGATATTCCTTGATATGAATGAAGGTAAACAAACTAATGATTTGAAGATTTGAAGATTGCTTGTTGGCAATAAATCCAAAAATCCAGGCCCTCTTTAGGTAAATTTTTGCCTTGTGTCCATTTCTCCTAAAGTTTCACAGTAGAAGCGTCAACTGCAATTCACTGTAAGGTCCAGATTTTTCTTAACATTCAAAAGGTATGCTAAGATGGAGAGAGGGATTTAAATTTAGAAGTAACTGACAACCTGGTATTTTTCAAGACCACGGCGAAACTGTTGTTCTTATCTGCTGTAAAAATTGTTTGCAAAAAAAATGATAATTTTCAATAGGATTAGGAGGATTGCTTTAGTAAGATTTGGCATCGGAGGACAATATCCTGGCACAGTTCTAAGGAACCTCTGGCCTGGGATGCCGACAACATTTGAATATGCATTCTTTACTCTTTCGTAATGGCTTGCGAAGAGTGGCAAGGTCTGCCATGTTCCTTGGCTTGATACAACAAAATCCCGTCTAGCACAAGGAGTCACTTTCGAGGACTGGAGCACAAGCTGCTAAAGAAAGTTCGATGGAAATCCAATTGTTTTAAAGTTTTTTTCGAAATCTTGGCCTCGACTACAGGGGGACTTGTAGCCTTTGTGCAGACCTTTGTGCGACTACAGGGGGACTTGTATCATTGTATCAATTCGCTCTAAAGACCGCAGTGGCGACGCCAGCTACTGAAAAGTGGGAGGGTAATGGGCGTGGCAAGTGATGAACAACGCCCTATTTGCCTTGTTTCAGTATCAGGTTTGTTTTCCTTAGAAAATATGATCTACCCCTACCTAGCGCCTTTTTGGAAGAATTATGTAGGCTGTGTCTTGACAAAAGTGAAGGGGGAGGGGGAGAAGGTATTGGCGCCACCACTGGCCTGGCGAGTCCACTCTCATTAATTAAGTGGTGTACACGGGCTCATGCGAAAAAAGACCTCTTTTCTCTGATTTATATATGAACTTTTTATGCCCTTTTAGCTGAGATACAAATACTAATAATAATAGACATCGTACAAAAACAAAGTGAACAGGAGTGCCTGCTCTTCTACACTATGACTCTGTCACACTATTTTGTCTAGAATGGTGACATATGAAAAAGAAACATCCTGTAAAACGAAACTGCCCACATTTCTATTATATGTTGCAAATGGACTTTGTAAATACCAAAATCTTTTCTTCCAAATATTTGATTTTATGTATAAAATACTGTGATATTGTCAGCAAAGAGGAATCTTGGCGCCTAGACTAGTTTTTAAAAAAACACCCTATTTCAGTGAAGTTCCCAAATTCCAAAAAGTACCTCTTTCTCTCAGTTTCATTTTTCTAGGTTTGACAAAAAGAACCACCTCCTTCTCAGAGTAAATTTGGATGAGCTAGGGTGAGTGAGACAAGCTGTGGAGTGGGCGACTAATTACTTATTAAAATTGTCTGTTCAGTGATGACCAGTAGTTGAAGGAGCAAAATTATAAAAGGTGTTCATACGTGATAAAAAATTGATCGTTCAACCAATTGAGTTCACCCGTAATTATGCCTGCCCTATTTTTTATTCCCATAAAAGTTTACATACAATATGCAAAGGTTACCAGATGATGCCGCAGGGAGCAGGGAAATACATTTATCATAACGATTCACAACTGAACATAAATCTATATATGAAAAATAACATATAACGTATAGCAGTTACAGAAAATGACAAAAAACAGTTGGAAGAAAACACACATCCACAAGTAAGGAGATTCTCAAAAACAACTTATCGAAATCGTTCTGAGGCACGAATGAAGGCATACAAATGTGGGTTTTTGCACATCATTTGTACTTTATGCATCCCTAAACTATTATCAAATAAAAAAACTTGAAAAAACGTGGTTCCAAAACAAGTCGCTTGTACAACATGAACTATAGGTGAATTTTTATGCTGTATTGATCTACCGGCCTACTCCTTGAGTCGAACATATAACTGAAACATTTATAAAAATATAGGAAGATAGAAAGAAATACACATTCGTAACTATTAGAGATTTCAACTCAATTTCGGACAAATTAACGCTACTTTAAATAGATATTTTTCATAAATACATAGTACAGAAGTTTCTAACATCAAACTTTAATTTAGAGTTAGTCTAATATAAAATATGAAACCAGCTCATATAAAATAAACTTACAAAATTTACACAGTAAATCACATCGCTGGAATATTAACTTTTTTACAGAACTGACCTTTACATATAGAAGCTTTCACTGCATCACAAAACATAGGAAATTAGTAGGAATTACTAAGGAGATGATATGTAATGCTCGCATAATCAAGGGGATATAGCGAAATGGCCTGCAAAAAGGTATGAAATCACCATTTTCTTAGAAGAGAAACGTTTTAAGAAAGAATGTTTTTTGGTCGCCTCCAATAACGTTTTTGGTTCTTTTCGGGAACCTTATAGGTTGAAATTTTGGCAAAACTAGTGTAGCATAACTACACTAAGGAAATCAGGCGACGTCAAGCTATTGCCTCGCAATCCCAGCAATCAATATAATGGATTCACTAGCATTAAATAACATCAAAAGGCGGTTTATCTTGCTGTTTTAATGCTCTCCGTTGCTAGAAAATTGAGATCCACAGCCCATAGCCTCTATAGCAAGTTACTTTGAGAAGGGAAGAATTCGCAAATTTGTCGAAAGCACGCGCAGATAAAGGGACTGGGAACGAAGATAGCCTGTTGTGACGACACCTATGATGAAATGTGGCCATCGTTGTGGTAGTCAGCAGCTCTCGCTGACAAAACAATCTAGATTAAATTCGGTAACAACATAATCTACATATTGATCATTGGAAAACTGTCTATTGGCGATGATTCTGTTTTTATGTCCTTTTTCTTATCATCAGCCTCAGACTTTCTTTTTCTTTCTTTAGCAGACCCACTTTCCCCGCGTTCCATTTTCTCCTGTGCTCGTCTGGTTTCTTTCTTGAACTTCATTCTCCTGTTCTGAAACCAAATCTTTATCTGCCTTTCCGTGAGATTCAGCATCTTGGCCAGTTCAGCACGACGATCTTTCTTGACGAAATGATTGTAGTGAAATTCTTTTTCCAGTTCCAAAAGTTGTTTTCTCGAGTACGTCATTCGTTTTCTCTTTGCGTCCACGTCGCGATAAAGCCAAGGGACTCCTGTCAATGGAACAGACAAGCCAGTTAGGAAAGAAATCACTTTTAAAAAGTAATCAATTTAGCAATCACTCAATCAGACATAAAGAAAACGAAGAAGAGTGACAAATCTGTATGCAAGAGAAGAAAAAGTACACATTGTTATGTCCTTTTTTGAACAACCTGTTTTCAGAAAAAATTGCAAAACAAAAGATAGGCCTGCCCAGGCATGATCGACAGCATAATTACCTACTTCACTTAAACCTTCATGAAAGTGGGTTTCAGAATTCTGTAGTTTACGAATGTTTACGAAATAACTAGAAGAACACGGTGTTTCTTTGGCATTTCAGACAATTGCTCTGACATTTCAAACCAAAAGTATGTCTTGTCCCTGGCATTCAAAATAAGGCAGAATTCTTGAACTGCAATTAATTGTCAATCTTTTGTTCTAGCTCCCGCCCAACTTTTCCCATGCAATCTTTGGTCGCACCTGCCCAATTGAAAGCAAGGGAAACAAGCCCCGAGGCGACACCCTGACTCCGGCTGGCTTATTCATAAGAAAATTGGGTGGAGCATACAAAGATGGATGGGGCAGTGGCTACCAGATGATATTGACCTCAATGGAAATTGTCTGTGTAAGGACAAAGTGACTCCTGTATTCAAAACAGAGTTCAACCTGACCAACTGAAACAAATAATTCCCAATTCCAGTAGACTATATTTAACACTAATCAATCGGATCACTATCCAAATTCTCTATGTCCCCATACACTACATTGAAAACAAAGGCCAAAGCATAATTGTAGGGTCCATACTACAAATGTGATATTATTCGCTTTGACACAGTCTCAGATGAAAATCAGCTTTGAATTCTTGCTAAGTGCTAAATTACGCCTAAGGGGTTTCATTGAGACACCCGTGAATCGCCAAGGCAGTGATTAAAGAAAGTCAGTGTACATAATTTGATTTTAAGAATACCATTGGAGACTGCAATCTCCGCTATGTGTTCATATCTAAACATGAAATTCTTAAGTAACATTGTGTGAGTTGCGTCATTAACACCATTATGTTAACACGACGGGGAAAGCATTTAACGCTCATTCTTACAAAGTAGAAAAAGGTATTTCTAATTGTACATTTGTCTTTCGCGTGAATGAATGGGCAAATTTTACCTGGGAACGCTTCTGTGTTTTACGGGAAACATATTCCAATGTCATAAAAGCTACTTTTCAAAAAGGACAGTAAAGAAAAACAAAAAAGCAAACACAAATTGTCCGATTTTAAACTCTAAAAACCCGCCAGGAGTTAAAGTTCAAATGACTTCACTCCTACACTCCTTGTAGATGTTTCAGCAATGCATTATTTCAAGTTAAGTATCAGTAACACTGCCTGCTGGACATATAAATTCCAAGTATGCCAACAATCTCCAAGGAGATCTTGAAAAGCCAAATTTTCTTGGTTTTAAAGCTTTCAAGTAAATAGCAAATTCGAAATACTTAATAAACATGGTCGCTTCACCTGAATGGCAAAACACTAGCGAGACACGTTCAAGAGTTGGTTTGAAATAGAGATTTAGGACACCGAATATTGCAAAAGTTTGCCAAAAACAACTTTGTTTCAAGAGAAATTCCGATAGTTCTCTTATTCTATCTTGCGATAGGAAAATCCAATATCCAAGAAGGACTTTCTGACTTTTGAACTTCAAAAAAGGTCATATACACATACAAGCTGCAAAGCAAAACGTAACATAGTGTCATTTCTGAAACTTGAAACATAAAGGAATGTCCCTAGTATACCAAAAATTCAGAGACGACTAAGGTTAGCGGTCATGCACTAGACAGTTTAACAGGTTTTAAATCCTAGCAGTGCTAATAAAAGTAAGAATTAGAACTGGTTCACTTACCAGCAGCTAGCGATGCATTGTTTAATACAGGATAGCCATAGCCACTAGGGTTTGATAGTCCTTGCGCGATGTAGGTATACCCTGGGTATCCAGAACTGCCACTGCTGCCATACTGCTGCCAGGGCATGTAGTTCTGTTGCGATCCGTAAAAGTTTGAGTTATACATTAAGCTTTGCGATGTGACTTGCTGTGCTGACGATATCATCGCAGCTTCGCCAAATGCCGTTGATTGTTGCGAAAACGAACTGTCTATCGCTGTCGTAGAGCACGGTTCGGGCAAATTTAGTTCTGCTGTGGTCGGCTCGCTAAATTGCGCGTGGAAACTTTGACTGCCGTAACGATTCGCAAGAAAGTTCGACGTCGCATTTGTTTGCATCGATTGGCGTCCATTAGGAGAGAAGGAAGCCGTTGTCTCATAAGGTTGGTAAGTCGGACTTGTCTTCAGACCCGAAAGGTATGGGGAACAGTCCAAAGGCAGACCTTTCGGCAGCTCCATTTCATCAGAAGAATCGCTTAACCAAACCATGCGGACAGAAGCAGTTTTGCCTTCGGTATGAAAAACGATGTACCGTCCCACGACCCAAAACAGCAAAATTACAGAATATCAAGATAAATATAAATGGAAAATAGTCCGATTAATCTTTTTCCGGATGTAACAAAGAGAAAAATGTCTCTTCTTATTTCTTCGTCAGCTTGTCTCTGATAGTTGTATGAAAATCACTTGTGAACTCGTAAGGTCCCTGGAAGTACTGAAGTGTACAACGAGTGTACTTCGAGTTTATATATGCATCCAGCACCGGGCGTCTCACTGTAAACAAAGGCGAGTGACGCTTTGTCCTCTCGACCCTGTCCTTTGACTTTAGCTCTAACGAACTATATAGCCTGTTATGAATGAAATATTGCCTGCGCAGTCGAGCATTCAGTATTACAATAATTATATTGCGCAGTGACAACATATTCATGTGAGTCATTTGCAGCTGACCTGTCTGAACTGCCAGAAATTAATGGCCAAGGAAACCTCTCTTGAATTTGAGCACAAAGGCGAGGAAATTCCATTTAATCTCTTGCCCACCCCTTCTTTATGTTGAAATGAGCCACTATTTGTTGTGTAATTAGAGAGAGTGTGGTTGTATTGTTGGTTTATAGTGGCACATATGAGTTAAATATAAAGATTCCAATCGTCATGACTAGCCTGGCGTTGGCTGGCAATCTGGGTGGGGTGAATCCATAGTCACAGAGAGAATAATAGCTCTAGATTCGATGTTTTTCTTATTCCTTCACAGTAACATTGAGCCTTGAATTTGCAAAGACATAAAACGCCATTTCCCAAATCAAAGCGAGGGATATTTTAATCTTATATTATTCATGAATTCACACAAAAGAAGATATTTTAAATCTAAGCAAATCCAAGTAAATACACTTAAATCCTCAAGCAGAAATCGTAATCAATAAAGGGAAACATGATGAAGATAGAAAAAACAAAGTGTTAATCGAATGCACATACCATAGTGTTAATCATAATTTTACGGAAATTAACAAAATAACTGTAAGAACCAAAATGTGAAAGTAGAAAAGGTGGAAAGGCTGACAGCTTGGTAAAGATTAATGAATTTTAAAAGAAGTTCTTGTCATTTAATTGGTGACTAAAGTCTACGATAAACGATAAAAACATGTCGCTCAAATAACGCTTTGAATCATGACAAGTATGCAATCCATCCAACACGGCCTTTCTTCATCAAACTAAATAAATGATAAATAAACATTCCATATATGGTGATAAAGATGAGTAGAAAAGAAACCATGACAGAAACTGTTGAATTTCATCATATGTATCCAAAGCTTCCCTGTGAGTTTTATCAATAGCAAACATCGTTCTTATGTAAATATCTAGATGCAAAATTAATTGACCCGATTTGCCATGTAAACATGATTCGGAAAGAAAGTTTGAAAACCTTCTTCTGCTTCTGATTTTAAACTATGCTCTTTGACACTAAAAATATTGGCCTTTCTCTTTCCAGTGAGAGAATTTTGATTTAGTTCGAAGAGAAGAATTAACCTCATGATATGATGGATATGATATGGGTTACCCGTGTCAATGGCTGAACTTGTCAATGACGATTTTTGACCACAAAACTTCACAAAAATTTAAAGGAAAAAAGTTCCAAATTAAGTCCTAGAAAACGGTTTTAATTTGGAAATAATCTAATTTGTCGAGAACAGAAAACATAAAAGTTGGATTATTGGAAAACGTCATAGGTAAACGCGGAACTTCCTGAGTAGGATAAGTTGTGCAGCTCTCACGTAAAAGAAAAGAGGAAATTTTCCAAAGCATGTACTAACTGTTCAACACTAAGCGCAAAATGAAGGAAATGAAGTGAACTTCTGTAGTAACAAGGGGCTATGAATTAGAAAACCTACGTGAATCTCCCAGTCCTTTATATGTATTGATAAACTTTTTTGCAACAAGATTGCCAGAGCCATGTTTGAGAAGGTAAATTGTAGCTCCAGCGCTAGATATCACAACAACTTTAGACATCTAGTTAAGTAGTCAACTTTATGTTGTATGAATCGTTAGGTTATTTGATTACCTCAAACCTAGAGACATCAAAATAATACTATAAAAGGAAGAAGACACATGTTCTGAACAAATACCAAGTGCGAGAAGAAAAGTTTCTCTTATTTTTAAAAAAGGGCTACCGGGAAGGGATTATTAAAAGTCGAAAAAGAACAACTTCAGTTAAGAGTAAGTTGAGATTTTTTGTGCAGATATGTAATTTAAAACTAGATATGAGCAAACTTGGAGCATTGGTAAAAACATCATTAAAATGGATCGCAATTTATCCAATGAACTGGCATTTTAACGACAAACAAGTAATTTCCATTTCATAGTCCAGGAAGTTTAAGATCTGGTACGCACTTCAAATTTTGAGTGCGAAATGGTTCCTGGTGGGTTGCCAACACACATTGACTCTTGGATGTTAGTATGACGCTAATATAATATATGTAAGTCGCCCAATCCCAAAATACAAAATCGTAAAGTTAAAGATTGGTTAATACTTTTATGATTGAGATTCTTGCAAAATAGGACAACTAGGTTCAATAAAAACGAACAAGAGCAAAGTGTGGGAAAATCATTTTTAGGAAAATCTTCTTCAATATCTGCAAAAACCTGTTCAACGGCTGACGAGTAGCGAAAAGACTTATTTCAAGAAGAACTCCACAAAACAACTCTTTAGCTCCTGTCAAAAAACAGCTCCACTAAAGCAGCATTGTCCCTTTGGAACAGGCTGGAGCTTTCAGAATACCAACGTAATAACATAATTGTGACCAGCTTAGCATACTCATGGACATTTTACTTGTGTCACTTATGAGAGCTGACGCACTTGAGGTGGCTTTGCTAAAAAATTTTATCGTTAACAAAAGGACAATCCAGAGTCAGGAGAAACATCACGGCCCCACGGCCACTGGCCAGAGAAAAGGGGAGGGGGTGGGTGGTCCAGGAAGGTTGTAGAAACAAATAGAAATTGAGTAAGGTGACCAAGAATTTGGTTTTCAAGATGCAGTCAGACAAAAAAAATCAACTTATATTTATAAACTTGTTTTTTTAATATGAATTTGTTTGCAGAATTACTCTGCATTGTAAAAAATTAAGCATTAACGTTTCATTATATATATACTTAAATTATGGCAAGCTTTTGTAATTAATTGATATAAACATACTTAAATTACTTAACTATTTTAAAAATTATCTATAATTCAGAACAAGCTAAATTTCTTTAAAATGTTTTAGAAAAGTTTCATGAGTTTCATGAGGGGATCAAGACTAGTTGAGTATCCCAAATATCCTGACCACGCCCATTTCAATTCCATTAAAAACAAGGGAGGTTATATAGTAAGGATTTCATGGTCAGGTAAAAGTTGACAACTTTCCTGGACTCTGGTTCAATTATTTGAATTTGATTTAAGGCAATGATCAAATAAAAAACTCAACTCAACTAAACATAAGTAACGTTGATTATCTTAGTTTAATTGAAATTTCAAAAACTCAAGAACATTCACTACAAAGACGCCTGAGCTCGAATCTTTGATTCTGCTTCAGAAGATAGCACGGCAATATATTTTAAGAGGGAATCTGTTTCAGGAGTCGGATTTGCCATCATCAGGAATTCAATTTGGCATACAATAAACCACAGAGCTAGCTGACATTGTTATGCGCAACAGCATCCAGAACTTCGACATTCTCCATTTATGATAAGCGATATTTTAACAAGCAAGTATAATTAGTCATTAGGCCTTCAAAAACGTAAACAAAAGATGGATTCTTGTGATATTTATATACAAATTACCTTGATAAAGAGTTGGATATGATTACTCCAACGCAAACTGTTTTGGAGTATCCATTTGGGCTTGACGACCCAATTGTCACCTTCCAGCAGAAAACAAACCCATTACTTGATTTTTACAACTTTTTACATATTAACAGTCTCGTACACTATCGAAAAACGATTCTGATAATTGCAAGAAACCTTGTTCAATTAAATTACCAACGGCGATCAAACTGATTGCCCGGATTATCGTTTTATTGTTCTTTTTCTCTCAACTCGTTTCAGGATCATAGAATGCTTGAATTTGAATTCTTGAGTGATCGGGTTTTAACATATCAACGACCATTTCATTAGAACCGTATAGCTAATGTCAATAGGACTTTAATTCAAGGACGTCGAGGAAGGGTAAATTAGAGAGAAAGGGCAAAGAAATAGATAAAAGAAGAGAGAGAAGAGAAGTAAAACTCGGGCAATGGCCGTCGGAGATATGATGAATAGAAATGGAGATAAGGAGAGAGATGAATAGAAAATCGAGGATAGGAAAGAAGACTGAAAAAGGGGAAGAGAAAAAGGAAAGAAATGGTAAAGAAGAAAAAGGAAAAAAAACCAATTATACGTTGATACGAATACATAAAAGGGAAAGCACTGCGACATACCTCAGGCAGTTCAGGAAGAGATAATTTACTGCTTATTTTAAAGAAAAAACCAGAAGAGCTGCCAAAAGAGGCACATAAAAAGAGGGAATACTTTGCAAGCACCTTAACCATTTATAATGAACCCGTTGTCAAACTAGAACATCGAAACTCTTTTAGTTTTATCAAATCGTTTTGTTTCTTCAACAAGCGAATCCCCTCCCCGCAAAAACAAGGCAGAACATGATGCGATTTTTCTCGTCAAGTAAACTAATTAAGGTATGGGAGACCTTAATGGAATTTGCCATTTTTAAAATAAAAGGAAAGATCCTATCTTACACCATTACATTTTCCTAAATACTTTGTTACAAGAGTTGATTTAAATGCAGGTTTACAGATGGAAAAACATGCATTTTCAGTTACAAAATATTGATCCACGCTGTTTTTTAACTAAAAGCTACATTCGATTTCGCCTCAACATGAACCAATTCTCACGATTCGCACTTCATATATCACAATTGACACTCTGGTATTTTGTATAAAAGCAATTACAGAAAAGGTTTTGTAGCAAATATATTGTGCAAACTTTAATGACCATTTCAGAGTAACTAATGGCTCATTAACGCGATGGTCTTTTTCGCTGTAAGAATGTGGCTCGAATATTTACGAGCTAAGGTTAGGTGTGTACTATTCAATTGCAAATGTAGCAAAAAGCAACAAAGTACACGCTATCATCACACCATAGCACAATGCCCGTGCAAATTTAGGCCGTTTAATGAAGAGAATCGTGCGTAATTCCATTGCTTTTTTCAAGAAAAGCTAATGTGATAATCATTTAAGGTGTTGCTTTCGTAGCACTGTAAATTATTTGTTGTGTTTCAGTCCTGGACCTCACAACCATTCGAAAACGCCATAGCTCAAGGGTGATCTCTTTTGTTATCGAATCCTTCTTGCAATATCTGTTATCCTGGATACACCTGAAAATCTCGACTGCCTTCCTCTCAGGAAGGAGGCAATCAACTCCAAGCGCGTTATTTTGAGTCTGCTTGCAAAACGAAATTATTTATCTTTTTATGTTCTGCAAATGTGCAAAACAGGAAGGAATTTTTGAAAATCACCCCGCTGCTATTTCGGCCAATGCGAACACTCATACAATACAAGAAATTTGTAAAAAAGTACCCCTAAACACTACGGTATTCTAAAGGCGCAAATAGTTCTGAAAAATTAAAAATCTAAACTAATTTAAATAATTGAAGCTATGTAGGGGAAGACAAACCCTTTATAAAAAAACCTGAGTTTATCAAGAAATGGAATCTAAGGCAAGCTACATTTTAAGAACCGAAAAGGCAAATACAAGCTACATTTTTAACAGGGGGATTCAATTCATAAGTATTATAAAGTTCATTCCTGCTTCAAATATGAGAAAGCCTCTTTTATTGACAGATAATAAGCCAAAACTGTAGAGAAGGGTCTTTCTCCATTTCAAGAATCGGAATCGACTATAAGCTGGGAAGGTGTACCCCTGATTAAGGTCTCCTTCAAGGTTCGATGCTGTTAATTTGGAACAAGTCATGGGGATTCGAGACGAGTAAATAAATAAATCGATAGGAGAGCATTACATATGTGTACCGTTGCTTCACTTTAAATAAGAGAAATAATTACTTAATGAATCCTTCTTAGCTCGTGACAGAAGACAACTAAAGATGCTTAATTGATTTTTGCATGGTGACTGGAAATTGGCCAAAACTTGTTCCAATTATGTTTCTATCACATCAAGTGATTACAAATTGTATGTAGAATGGGGGCATTGTTACTCTTGTTTCAGAAGAAACAGTCAATTAGCCAACAATTGTCTTAAAATAGATTTGCCACGTCGCACGTTTTGTTAATGGATGATAAGCAAAAGTATGCGGCTAACAAAATATCTAACCATTAAAATGGTAGATTCATAACCAATATGGAGTCATGAATAGTAATTACAGAATTAGTCAGATTTGATCACGCACTGCTTTGTCAATTTTCATGTGGAGTGGAAAGTGTCCCTACACAGCTAAGCATTCATTCTGGTCAAGGATATAGACAGTAGTATTCGATGTGTAACAAACTGAATCTAGTAACGAGATACATTTTCATAATTCGGGCAAAAGGTTCAGAGTGCAGAGAGCATGGCGGTAACACGGTCAACAACCGTGATGTTGGCCAATGAAAAAAACTAAAGTGCCCCACCCAAATTCTGTCTTGTATGTATTGAATTTCTTTTCGGAAGGGTTCACAGCAACAAGGCATTATCAAGAGGTAGGATCAAACTCTTCTGGAATCTGAATGTTTTCTTTTCGAAAATTTCTATTCATTTAAACTCCTTTTTAGACAAAGTTTCTTTAATTTGAACAAAAATTTCTTTCCTTTTAGACTTCGGATAGTCGGACGTTTGATTACAAGCACTAAGAAAAGTAACTGACCAACATCAAAAGGGAAAATGGTACAACAAGAATGTTAGTGAGAAAAGGGGTAGAGAATTACTGGATTCACAAAAACTCCACGTGACCCTACTCAACCTCAAAAGTATGAAGAAAGCCGTCCATTAAATTGCTTGTCGAAAAGTGTTTTTGAACTATGTGTGGCTCTAGCTTTGACAAAAGGTCCTTGAAGGGTGTAGCACTCGGAAACAGCGTTTGCTTCTGCCTTTGCTTACATTGGCACCTGGGAAATGGGATTTAGGCAACTGGGGCTGGGAAAATCATTCTTGAACTGAGATAGCCATTGCATTGGGTGTTTAACCTTTTGTGCGAAACATTGCGAAGAAGATTTCAACAACGTTTTGATAGGGACCGGACAAAACCACCAGGATAAAAATCTGTAGCCCCGAAAACTTGATTTTTAAAATCACTTGAAACAAAGCCCAATGCTTCTTTTTCGAATTCAAGGAGCAAAGATAAACGATAAGGTCTGTACTATTTCCTTTCCCATTCAAACTGCACATTCATAATCAACATTATCTGTGACAGAATTACACTTTAACCAACAAATGACAGGGTTCCTTCGCCAAACACAGGAATATTTTGCTTCTGCAATTACAAAAATCCATTTATATTTGCTAAGTTTACAAAAGAGAAGTTAAAAAATCAATTAAATTTTTCAGAATATTCTGGTCCAAAATTGGATGCACTCAATGGTGAAGATTTCTACTGTTTTAAATACTCCAAACTATGACGTTGTCTGATTAGAGCAATTTTTATAGTGCTAGATTGGCCCAGTCTCTTTTAAAACATGGTTACATTGACGCATCCTCAAATTAACATGATATAAAGTAAGGCAAAAGGATAACGATTATTGTAATAATGTTATGGACTAACAATCAATCAATCAACGAGAAGAGAAAATGGAAAAGTAGTGAGATTTTTCTGAATATGAAAAGAAAATGGCGAGTTTTAAGATGATACATTGGATGGTCCCATCTCATTATTGAAACTGTGTTGCTTTGATGTGAAATGAGGGATTAGATAACAAATCATGCTTACTCATATGACCCACACATGTGGGTTGTGGAACTGGTATGTATTCAGGGTAAAATGAAGAGGACAAAACCAAGACAGAGAAACTGGAAGAAAGGATGCTACAGATATGATAATAATTTTGAAGGAAACAGATACCTGAAACCTGCAAGCATTAATTAATTATCACCAAATCAGAAAAATAGCCTTCGGAAATCTATAGATTTGAATGGGTTTATACAAGGTTGTGTCCTCTCGCCTTGAATATTGACAATATACACTGAAGTACTATCTAAGATACAGAAACAGGGAGTGTGAACTTAATTGGGAAAGAATAATTATTTACCGCAAAAAGGGCATGGTCAATAACGGCTGTGGACCTCCGACGGGTGGGGTGTTTTATGGTACAATAACGAGGATTTGACGACATAAATCCAAAACCATTTTTCAGATTATTGCAGTATACCTGCATTCTGTTTATATTGCAATGCTTTTCGTCTTTGGATTGTCGAAGGAGGAATAATGTTGGGTTTCTTTGCAACATGAGGTTTAACTAGATTCGACCTAACAAAACATTTAAGGACATTATGCTCATTAAGGCCATTTGAAAAAAACAACAAGGGAAATCACATTTTGAAATCTGATTCTTGCAAAGGACATTCTCAATTATCTCGAAAGCAAGAGAATTGGCCAGAAAATAAAAAATGTAGCAGTTTCCAGATAGTGCAGCTGCCTCGACGCAGAGGTGGCGCCAGAAATCTTCCGACAGAGGGGCTGCAGCTTCCGACAGGGGGGCTAAAATGACTAAAACAAGCAGTTTTCGTACGTTATTTTGTCAAATTTGCTCCGACAATAATCTAAAATTTCCTCCGATGGGGGGGGGTTAGATGCTTCCGACGGAGGGGCTGTAGCCCCCCTAGCCCTCCCCTGGCGCCACCACTGCCTCGACGATGTGGAACGCTTGATAAGTTCCTCTCTTCTGTAGAAGCTGGCATAACATTCCCTCTTGAGACTCAGAGAAATGCGACCCGTTTCTGAGTATTGGAAATTAGAACGGAATAAGAACGTACTGAAGTCCGGTGACGCCAAGATAATGATTAAGCATAATGAACATTTCATGTTTTGCGAGCAGTGATATCTTAATGGACAAAAGCGAAAAAGTTGGACACTTCTGTGACGTGAAACCGTCATGTGACAAATGCACTTCCGCTAGATACTGTTTATGTTGAATGTGCATACGAGGGATTAATATTAAAGAAAGTGAGAATCATTCAGCAGAATCTATTGCAAGCACCGCGTATAAGTATTGGCTAAAAAATAATTCAAGGCGGAAATTAATCCAATAGATGTTTCAGTAAACATAGGCAGCGATCTTGAGCTTACAGTAAAGGAGGGCTTGGCGGGCCGTCAAGGTCGCAATTCCAAGAAAGTTTATTGCTTCTAAACAAAGCACCTTCGTGAAAAAGAACAATTTTTTTCTAATTATGTACGCCAAAAAGGCATTCCGGCTAGATAATGAACTTAATTGAAAAAAATTCAATCCTTGCTAATGTCCAAATTTTACAGTGCTATCAAATCACTGATTATCTTCAAAATGACGTCATAATTATGGAAACACAAAGAGTCTACACTGGAGGCTCGCGAGCACAAAGAGGCTTCCGTCTAGACGACGGCGATCCGATGACGCTGGCGGTAATTTCATGACCAATCTGAAAAAAGCTTCTCCTACACGAAGGAACCTAAAAAATTAGTCAGTTGAATTGCTTTCGTATGCTCGCAACACACGGAAGTTGGCTACGACACTGTCTAATTTAATATACAGTGGTGAAATTTTATATCCAAAGACATTATGTGTCATTTTTGCTTTTCATCATCCGAAAAAGGATTACTTTTCAAAAAGATATTTTTAAAACGGTGTTGTTTCATAAGTCTGCGCTTTAAACGGTCTTCATGAAGAAAGTACATCAGTATGAGCGGGGCGAAATTGGCGGCATCGCAACGGACGATTGCGATAAACGCCAATGAAAACAAAAACAGTTGTTAACCTTATCCATACCAATCAGTGCCGTGGCAACGAAATTCACATTGGGGAGGGGGCTGCCCATTGTATTCCTTCTCATTAAGTGCACTGTTATAAAGGAAACATACCATAGTTTGACAATTATTGGGGGCTCCGGCACTCCCAGCCCCCGGTTCCAAAGGGCCTGCCAATAACTTCAATTTCTAGGAAGGTTATTTATGCTTTAGCTCGTTGTCCAGAGGAGTAATTAACTCTTTTTGACTCTTGGACCTGGTTGTAGCAAATATGTAAAGGAATTTTCCGCACTAAAGTGCACGATGGTTTGATTGTATTTCTGGACTGTACATGCCGATGGGCAGAATTGTGGAAATACAGCAAACAGTGTACAAAGCCCCACAGATATTTTATTTATCTATTTGATTGAAAATCATATCCTGGTCCAGATTTTCATTTATAAGTAGTCTCACAAACAACACCCTATGCAGGCAGCGTAACCACCGTAAATCTCGAATTGCCTCCCCCCTCGAACCATAAATTGTCAATTGCCCCCCCCCCTCAAATAAGCCCCCACTGCTACCATAAATTCTCGAATTGCTCCCACCTCGATCTGTTGATTGTTGCCATCGAGGTTCCCTTTGCTGTTTTATCGAATGACAACAAAAATCAATACTTTTGGTAACAATTAATTAAATATTAATAAAGAAATTTCTACTACAATATACGAGGTCTTTTATTAATGTGTTTTTGATGTCTACTATAATGCCCCCCATTTGAATAACCCCCATCCAAAAATATCAAAAATAAATAAGCCACCAGGGGGCTAATTCGAGGATTTACGGTATAACTGTACGTTGATATCATAATCAAGACCGAGAAAATTTCCTGTAAGAGATGCAAAACCATATTTTACCGACAGAGATACTTTTGTTATATTCGGCATAAACATTTTTTTGTTATAAATGTAATTCTACCAACGAGTTCTCTGAAAGTTGGGGAGTTGACACCCCCGCACGCTACGCTCCTGATCAAGACACTATTCATATAAGGGATCTTTCCTCTGGATAGATTAGTTACAAATAGCCCTTGCGTGTACATAGGGGGGGGGGGGGGGGGGGGAGGAAGCAGATCTTAATAATCAGTGATGCTGAGTTAAAGATACAACAATGCAGGCTTTCCAAATTCAAAAGTGCTTTGCAAGATACGGCTAGCATTTCAAGCTAATGTAGAACATGCTAAGAGAAAACTGAAATTTGAACAAGAAAATTATTTCTTACATACGTTTTAATCTCAAATATTTCCAAAGTAGCCCCCCCCCCCCCATATCAACTTTGTTGCTACCAGAGTCCCTCGTTAAATTTTCTGGAACTTAAAAAGTGGGAACCATATGTTACAGTGTGTATCATTTAACAGCTTTGTAACATTTCATTCATTTGTTTCGACTTGCTTTTGATTTGTTTTTAAAACTTGTTTCATGAGACTGCTTGACAACTCCGAAAAACTTTTTATTCAACTATGAAATTGGATTTTAGAAAGGAAGTACTTCTACAACAGGCAAATTATTATAAACTGTTTCGTATTCAACACAACAGAGAAACAAACATGTGTGGTTTGACCGAAAATTTTAACGATGCAACCGCAATACGTTTGTCAGATCAAAACTGTAAAACCAAAATTATAACTTTTGACATTGGCAGAGTTCCACAAGTGTTACGAAACAAATTACTGTTCAGGAACAAAAAAACGTGAAATTCTTTCATGAAAGATCATTTACTGCAATATCACAAAGGGCATGCATTGGTTAAATATTTTTCAATGGAATAAAAACACCAAGGTTTTGAACGAGATTGCTGCGGTCCGCAAAACATGCAGCATGTGGGCGCAGTACTCTCTCTTTTCAAAGCTACATGCTCCCTTGGCCGAGGTAATATCAAGGCATTCTCAAATGCCTTCATATCGAAATATTTAGAACGTCGATCAACTAACAAAATTCAAAAGAACACCTGGAGACCTGGGTATTTACTGAGATTGTGATCACACGACCCTGAAAATGCATAAAAGCACGATTAGCGCCAGATATGTGACTCCCCACCCAGGCTGGCAATATCCATTCTATTTTCTTCTTCCCTCGCAGAAAGAGTAGAGTCCTGTTATGAAAAAGAGTAGAGTCCTATTCTGAACTGATGACCGTTACTTATCAATTGAAGTTAGAACACTAACCATAACCAGGAGTATCTTCCCATTTTGAACATAATATTCAAAGCAAGTTTTTACTCACTCGTCCCAACAACTGAAGATTACACACAAAAACTAAACAAAAATAACTTAACAACATCTTAGTCAATTTTTCACACATTCGTTTCTTCTTACAAACTATTCCAGTTGGCAATTTTACCTGATAAACTTCACCGATGACGCAACTTGTTTCAAATATTAAATTTTTTTGTAATCTGGTCCATTTTAGGCTCGTTCTAAAATAATTTGATTTTTTTTCCTAAAAAACTTATTAAAAAATGGTTTTTAAACAAAAAGACACACGTTGACCATCCTTTTTACCGAGAGTAATCCACTTTTCGAGACTTTTCTGGACAAGTTTAGCCATGAAAAGGGTAGCTAGTTATAATGCTCAAAAGTACAGAAATAGCGTTCGACTAAAAACTGTTTCATTAGCTCTCCATGGAGGTAACTACCTAGCCACTTTATCAAAGTTTGGTCCTTACATTTCTTTTTAAAATTCAATAACAAATTTAGGATATATGTAGATCACTTTTATAATGCAAGAAGCACGGGGACTAGCAATGAATCTACAAACCATAATCATACGACAAGGGTTGGCATTGAGTACTCTCGTTTCTTAACACCAAGGCGAATTTCAGTATTCGGGATTTCTTAAATGTTTTTTTATATTAATTTCATTCTATCAAGTTTTGAGTCATGAATAACATTCATCATGTTGGGAGTAGTTTTTATGGAAGATTATAGCATTTCATTTCATTACGGAAGATAGTAGAAGCTGACTGTGAAGAGTTTGTGGGACTTCTGTAGCATTCTAACTGTTTGGCACAACAATTTTATGCCAACCATGGCATCTAATCACTATGATTAGAAATCAAGAAATTTCAGGGCACTGTTTTTTTTCATTATTCAATTTCCTCAGAATTTTTTGCTTCGAGTACTGAAATTTCGTTATCTGTTCTGAAGGCAGAGTAATTGCTTCTCGCAGTAAGTTTCTTATAATAAAAACGAGAGTATACAAAGGGCTTGATATTGCTATTTAGCGATATAGCTAGCGACTAAAAATAAGTTCTTATCAGTTGTTTGGATGTATATAAAAATAACAATCTAACCACCATACCAAAGACAGATTTGCATGGAATGCGATGGTTTTCTTGAGAATGGTTTTCTTGTATGTTATACAAAATGTTTTGAATTCAGCAAATATCTGGGCGAGCAATCAGGAAAATCAGATTATGCATCTATTACTAAAAATAGTCCTTCTTTTAAATGATGACGTCACATTTCTGGAAATTATTAGATACTGTTGATTACTTACTCTAAATAGAAAACAAAGAAGAAGATAGCAATTCTCTAGAAGCAAACATGATTTTTGTTGAAAAATTGAAAAATTTGTGGAAAATCAAAATGATTGTTCTGCAAAAAATTAACTTAGAAGTCATTTGTTATGATGACATTCGAGGCATTTTAGGTGAAAACCACGAAAAATATATTTTGGTTTCGTGGCTTTGATCGCTAAAGAAGGCCTTAGAAACACAAGTGACCCAAGCACTGGGTATTTTTAAACGAAACAAAATCTGTAAATAACTTTGAGTGGTGTTTGAAGATTGTGTAAAACGTGTAAAACACTTAGGAATTAAAAGCAATGTATGATGCAAAAAGTGGGCTTTAATCAGCTCAAAACAAAGCTAGGGCCGGAAGTACTGAATCGAAGTCGTTGGTTGATATGATTAAAATCAAGAAATTTCTTGGAACTCCGAAACATCTTTGGAAATATTAATGAGCCGGGAATACTGGGTCCTGACTCTCGATACCGGAGCATCCACGATTGAAACGAAAGGAGAGCATAATATTTGTTTGTAAAATTGTAACAATAAAGAGGAGGAGAAATTCAGTTATAATTACTCTCAAAATTTGGCAAGCATTAGGTACTGTCGATGACGTGAAATTCTAAGGAGGCTAATTAGCTTGACCTTGCCCAGGTTTGTGCAGAAAATAAGAAGATATGGGTGGGGCGATAAAAAATATTCAGCTGTTTGATTTTAGAAAAGGGAGTTCTTGAATATCATAAAAGTCTGTCCACAATGGAACCTAAGTTGTCAGTCATTTCGCAATTTCCGAAACAGCTCAGCCCCTTTGCTAACAAACCATATTCAATAAATATAACGGTTGCGATAATTAGCCACTACGTTGCTTCCTGAGTTGGATTGAGGTGGGGAGGTGAGACATCCCCGGATCTCCTCCGCAAAAAGTGAAACATAATTGGCTCATTAACTGCTGCTAATTATCCGTGTGAAACTTCATTGCAACAGCATACATGATATCCTCACGAACTATGTAATTTGACAAAACTACTCTACTGTGTGACGTCATCCACGCTTAGTTTTCTATTCTCCTGCTGACTATGTCCTTTGATAGCATTACTTTTTAGTAACAACTTTATAAGAATTCGCATTAACTGTTCCCATCCGACTTGGAACTGTTTACAGAGCTATGGTTCTTCCGGGAAATCGAGAGTCACTGGTAACATTTCTAGCTCCTGTAACCAATCTTGGGTAGTTTGAAGGACATCTATCCATTATTGGGTGTCAACGGCACCCAGTCAATTCCTTCAAAGATATCCAATTCTTTGACTAACTTTTATTTGGCTTTCTCATCTTTCCAACTGATTCTGAAACTCCATTCTGATTGTTGACTAGAAGCTATAAACCCCATGCCCGTACCAATTCTGGAAGGATTGGGTCATCAAGCGAGGAAACCCAAAAATTACAAACGCTGGCCCTACAAGTCATATATGCCTACTTTTAAGGTGATTGTACTACATTGATGAAATAAAATTGCAGTGGACTAACATGATCCAAATGTATTTCCATGTGACAATATTGGAGGGTTTGGAGGCGCAATTAGAAGGCAGGAACCAAGCGCTGACAAGAATATGATCGAGCGAGGACACAAATAGCTCTAAAACTTTGGACCATTTATTCATAATTATTTTTACGTTCCCGCAAGTTTAACCCTATTAAAGATAATATTTTACTTCCATGAGGGCGGATTTAAACATTACCAAATGACAATTGCTTGGGGCAGAAAATAACGGCATTCCTGGCATTTGCCATTCAAGGTAACAAGGTCAAGGGAGGTTAACTAATAAATACTCCAACATTTCTATGGAAAGTACCACAATAGTTTCTAGACATGAAAATCTCAAGCAAACGAAACAAGACCGTTGGATACTTAAGTTGTTGAAAAGTGACATGGCAATAAGCAATAAGAAATTATGGTTTAAAATGACCCTCTGGCAATCTTTCAAACAACGGACTTAAGGAGCTGTAGCAGCTTGAGGCAAAACTATAAGCACATTTCAGAGTTGGGGGAGGGGGACTCTAGAAAAGTGAGGGGGCACCTTATGCAGTTTGCCACCATTATCTTTGATATCATAGCCCCCCCCCCCTAATGGATTTTCTGAGAGCGAAAGACGAAGAAAGTTGAGTTTACCTGTTTTTCATATTTGCACAATTTCAATTAAGTTACTTACTGTACCTAATCAGTAACATTAAAAATAATTAATGCTTATTTTAAATATTATATCCTCAAGAAGCAAATATTGATAACAGACTAAATACAATCCCCCCCCCATTGACTATTAAATTCCCAAAAAGGGACAACAAGGGATATTTCCTCGACATTTCAAAACGGTTTAAAAGTAGAAATGATCCATACTGCCCTGCATCATGGAAAACAGAATCTGGTAACCATAAGCTCGGGTCAGAATAGAATTAAAATTAGTTTTATTGCACAGGTTGAGCTTTGAAAATCAAACAACGCAAATGTAAATTAGTCAGCTTCACTTGACAACACATCTACAGTGGAATCCTGCTACGTAAGGACCAAGTCAAAAATTCGTAATAGCGGGGGTTCGTTATACTGAGGGTTCATTATATAGGAAGCACTAAAAGAGGCCGGCGTTAGGTTCGTAATAGCGAGCAGTTCGTTATACCTGATTTCCACAATACAACTACAACAGGAGTGTAGTTTAAATTCAATTAAAGCAATGGTAACATGACCGTCTTATTATGAAGAAGAATACCAACCCCCGTTATTGCCTTAAAAGACTGTATTTCGACTTAATGTAATAATTGTTTATGAAGACTTGCCTGGGGCTCACTTGTTAAATATAGCTACGTCGCAGGAATCATACCCAGTTACTGCAAAGGAGTTACCATCGTCATCGAGGAATTTCGCGCCAGCCAGCTGAACGTCGGATATCGATTCTTCAAACAGGAACTCAAACTACAAGGGAAAAGATGCCTCAATAAGCGCACATGATACTACCAATAATAATATAGAAAATGAAATGAAGTTGATCTTCAAACAACCATAGCAGAGAGGCAGAGAGGCAGAGAGGCAGAGAGGCAGAGAGGCAGAGAGGCAGAGAGGCAGAGAGGCAGAGAGGCAGAGCGGCAGAGCGGCAGAGAGGCAGAGAGGCAGAGCGGCAGAGAGGCAGAGAGGCAAAGAGGCAGAGAGGCAGAGCGGCAGAGAGGCAGAGAGGCAGAGAGGCAGAGCGGCAGAGCGGCAGAGAGGCAAAGAGGCAGAGAGGCAGAGAGGCAGAGAGGCAAAGAGGCAGAGAGGCAGAGAGGCAGAGAGGCAGAGCGGCAGAGAGGCAGAGAGGCAGAGAGGCAAAGAGGCAGAGAGGCAGAGAGAAAGAAAGAAAGAGAGAGAGAGATAGAGAGAGAGCGAGAGAGAGAGGGAGAGAGGGAGAGAGAAGATGGATTAGGGCGATCACAGCAGAAATATCTTTGCGGTTGTATTCTAGCCCTAATCCAGGAGACTGAAGGGAGTTTTCAGATTGTCCGAAGAATTTGTATATTTCCTTGGACTTAAAAAAGAATAAAGCCAGAAAATTAACTATAGGCCAGAAAATAAAAATTGACTCAAGTTAGAATAAACCCGTAGTCTTATATAAGAAATCGTATATAAGAAACCGACTCCTAACTTAAGTTATGTTATGCTATGTTCTAACAAAAAAAGAAGCTCTTTACTACTTTAGTGTGAAAGAAACTTTGGTTGAAAATTTGAATCTTCGTCTGGGTCAATTTGAAATGAAGAAAAAATAAACTGAAATGAATGTCAGTTATCAACATCAACCTCTTGGAGGATAAAAAGTTCCCAGAAATGTCCCTTCCCTTTAAAAAATCTTCGAATTACGCTCCCTGGTACCTCCCACTTTTAGACTGACTCCGCCGAGGGAAGTTTTTGTAATGTAAACCAGCAAGGCATTTAACAATACAATTTACCGGTAACCATAATATATAGACAAATTCTGTCTAGCATATTCACCTGAAAATTCCTAGACATTTTTAAGCAGACAATTGAAGTGCAAGTATAGATAAGCATTGTCACATCAAAAAGGAAGTGATAAATCAACTGTATACAATGCTTTTTTACAAAATTTGGTGAAGTGGCAATGATGATGTCGCCAAATTCGTAATTGTGTTAAAAAAGGAAGTACTCACTTTAAGTGAAAATGAAATTTTCAACACGCGAGGAGACGGTTTCAATTATTTTCAAAATGCTAAAATTCTGAAGCACTTACAATACGTTCAAAGGTCTTGTACGCTATTTTAGATGTTTGCAAATTGTTAACAGCATTCCATCCCCTCTTTAAAAATATATAGGAATCGTTTCTGAGTTATGAGAATAAAATTGCTTCAATGTTGTCATAAGATAGTTAACAACCAACGTTGTATTCAGATAGAGAGGGGGCGGGAGGGGAGAATCAATTACCGCTACCAATAACTGCTCATTTATGCCAAGAGCGGCTAGGGACTTTTAGAAGTAGGGATCCACCTTGAAAACAAGAGGGGGAAAGGATAAGCCTGGAAGCAGCTAATTACAGATAACCTAGTGCTGGTACAGTTAAGGAGTTAGAAAACTCCCAGTACTTGTTCAAATATTAAAAAACACTTCTTTTTCAAATGTTTTTTGCTGGCATCAAATTATCAAAAGACAACTATAATTTAGCTATTTTTTAATACCTTATAATTCATATTGAAATTATAACACACCCTGACTGAAATTCAATTTGCTACAGCAAAATTTTTCATTTTAGTACATTTTTCTATGAGTCTCAAAATTTTAGAAACTATCAAGGACTCTGCGTACTTTTTTGCATAATAGCTTAAGAACTCGGCCATTTCTAAGTTTCTTATATAAAAAATGAGCGCACACAAAGAGATTTGAATAAAAAAATCTTATGCACAAGCATAAAACTATGAGTTTATAACAACTACTTTGATCTTTCGTTAAGAAACAACTGCTTATAGTTTGACATCAAATGCAGAAGTTAGAAGTTTTTCCAAACCGGCAGGTCATATTTTCTGACGGTATTGTTATCAAATGCGAAAGAATGCCAAAGTTCTGAGGCATTGTCTTTCAAATCAGCTAGAAACATGGGCGTAGCGGATGCTGAACAAACTGGGGGCGGGGGCTTAGTATGAATCTTGCCGGAATATTATTGTTTCATGAGATAGCATTGTCCAAATGGAGCCTGAAATGCGATATACTTTGCCTAATCAGGGGGGCTGCAGTCTTCCCAGCTCGTTTGCTTCTACACCTATGGCTTGATACTCTTTGTTTTTGATTGAATCGCAAAACAGCTAGAATCGCTTTTTTTAATAAGACAGCTGAAATAGAAAGCAAAACATAGATTCCTTTTTTGTCTATTTTCATCTACAGTGCTACTTGGAAAAAAAGCCTTCAGAAAGAGAAGCCAGCAGACTAATTGGTTAGATAGTCTAAAAATACCAACAAGCAAATCAAATCACATAACTTACATTAAAAGGACTGGCTGTGACTTTCCAAACTTTTGCGAAAGTATCTTCTGAGGCAGAAAGAAGCTGCAAAAAACAGAAAATTTGTTTTTGAGGGGTAAAAAAATTTTGAAGGCACTACACACTGTAAAAATATTTCTTGAACAAATTAAGTGAAAGAAAACTACAAATGTATTCAGTGGTTATTAAATCCTTAGTGATGTCATCAAGGGGCCATCTCATATATTTTCCAAAGCCCTATAAAAACGATTTTTGGGCCTATTTTTAAGCATTTGAAAAAAACAGAAAATTCATTAGGGAGACTATTCATTATTGCATCTGTGGAAAAAGAAAACCCAAAAGGCAAGAAGAAATTAATTAGAAAAAATTAAACTCCTTTCCATACCAATAAACAATAAATATTCGGGTTAATAAATTTAATACTCAATTATACTTTCGGGATAAATACTTCTATTCTCTATAAATATTTAAAATGCTTTAGCTGTGATTAAAACTAGATTCAATAGCCCTGGCCTCGGTCAAGGGTAGCTTTAACTGCAAGATTGATTGTACAAGCTTGTATATTCGTCAAACTTAGCAGCAATTTTACATCTGAGCCTCTTACCGAGCTCTGAAAGACTGGTGCAGAGTATGATTATTATCAGGATCTAAAACCGTAAATAGAAAATTAACGTACGTAATGGCAATTTTGATACTTAGTTTCTGCAGGCCGAGAGTTACCCAACAGAGCAAAGAAACGTTTTAAGCGAGAAAGCAGCGTCAATTGCCCAAAGTACAAAAACAATTTTGGACAGGCAAATACAAAAACAGGCAGCTTCGTCATTGTTTTGTTTGGTAAATGTTCCCAGACTCAATACTTGGTTGAAATATTGGAAATTCTCAGGATTGTAGAGTGACGAAGCGCATTTTCTCCCGCTTTCTCCATCAAGGAAATTGAATTTATATCATTCTTTGGAAACTTTGGTATTGCTGCTCTAATATCAATTTTTGAGAGTCAATATATCAATACGAAGCGTAGGCAACCAAAACAGTGAGTAAGATACAATCCCGGAGAGACGGCGTTAAGATCTTGCATCCCCCTTGTTCAGCATTGTTATCTCTTTAATTAAAGTACATTTGCACTAACTTTGAACAGGGGAGAGGGGTGGCAGATTTTGGTCTGTACATGCATGCTACAGGGTATGTGTTTCGCATTTGGTTTTGATAGCTGTGGCAAGAATTGGTGAAAAGGTGGAAGAACTGGTGCTCAAGTTAAAAGTTTCAAGAAAACAATGAAAAATTGGGTGTTGCCTAGGTGTGGTAAATGAAATTAGCTTAAATATGTCGGATAGGTATAGCAAAATCTATAAGAACTGGCCTTGATTTGGGCTCCAAAATCTAAAAACAGTTGTCTAATAGCAAGATAAAATAATAATGCTATTATTCAATCTTGTTAATAGGTGCAACAAAATCTAAGAAGACAGGTTTTAGATCAAGTTTTCCAAAAAAGCCTAAAGACTACGATAGAACTTAGAGTGGGGGATTCCATAGATAAGAAAAGTTTTTGAATTCAATATCTTGCAATTTTGAATTTTTACTGATAAGTCTCGGGGCATGCTCCCTTTGATGAAGCCAATGAAAGCTATCACAATTCTAATGTGAACAAAATTACCCACAGGTTTTATGAACATACGAAGAGAGTCTACTTATATTTAACTGGACCAGAAATTCAAAGCTTTCAACAAGCAGGGGGGATCTTAAATTTATCCAAGAGACGTATAGTTTCATGTCTACAATCCTGGACAGATGAGATTTTATATACGTCTCCCCCAAGTTCAATGTTGATATCTCTGCTACTAAAACATATACGCCCCAACTCTGCATGAAGGCTGGGGGAGGGGGGGCTTTAGAGGCTAGACTTAGGGAGTTCTCTTACAGCTTTATCCAAAATTGTACTAGCATACTATTTCAAGAAAGGTGCGAGACTAAAATCAATATTTATCCATGGGATTTCGAACAAATTGGTAGTGATCTCAGACAGAATGGCTTTGAAATACATTTAAAAATATTTGTACATGGAAAATGAGTTCAAGCGGATCAGCAACATATGAAAATGACGTCACACAGACATGTAGACACATAAAGAGTTGTAAGCAATATATTCAACTGCAGCCAATCTGTATGCCATTTTAAGCGTATAGCTTTAAATCAGATAAAGACATAAGGCTTGAGAAAGTAGCCGTAAAAAGAAAGTAAGTGAAAATAATAGAGGTCTGAAAGAAGAAATTTTGGTTTCACTTTAAAGTGAGCGAGCAGAGAATTGGCAGTTGATAATGGGGTTATGAAGAAGAAGAAAAATGTAAGTTTTGGTCTGTTGAGTCAAAATAAGTTTAAAACAGGCTAAACAGGGAAGGAGTGTATAATAATCAGTGCACGAATGCAAAGTATGAAACTGTGAATGCTTGAAAATGAAAAATGTTAAACTCTTCGACAAAAAAGCAGAAAAACTTCTTATTAAGACTTCAATGAACCTAAAAACAAACTAAGTTCGGAAAATTTGAAAATTGAATACTTTATTCTTGGATGTATATTCTTATAATCGTACATGCGACCTGCCCATTTTCGCATACTAACTGCAACCCTCAAAAACTTTGAAAAAGATCAAACATACTTTTAGCAAGCTATTTTTTCTTTTCAAACATTTTTTTCTTCTTTTCTTTCTTTGATTTCTCGCTGATGAGCTTATCAATTAGTATACGTACAACCTAAGAATCTTACCACGCCTAGGCCATTGAAAATAAGGAAGCTATAGAAATAAGGAGCTCTAAAGAAATGGTTGGCGTGAAAATTTTCAGTAGAACAGAGGACGAGGGGCAGCATTGAATTTGATAAACAACAACTCATGATTAAAAAACAGGGGGCAACGCTCTGCATGTCACTATAGATAAATTAACGAGAGAGCAAATAAATTTGCAGATAGCTTCAGAATAACTTTTCACGTTTATAGGCGGACATAAGAATCTAGAAATGTATCATGTTTTGCTAGATGTCATATTTTTAAGAGAGCGTTCCATGACCCTAGGCGACCTGTGATTCGTTAACACAGTTAAAAAAACTTCTCCACGTGTATGACACGAGGTTAATGGGAATGTCCTGACCGGATTCTCCAGCTTCAGTAGTTTTCATAGAAGACATTGTCTCTTCGGTAGCAATTTGTTTGACAAAAAGCGATAGAGCGCCTTGGATATATTTTGCTGTGAAAATGTTACAACCACTTACAATCTCATTTTCTAGACTTAACAAGGGGTCTTACATACATACATCACTCTTATAATTGTCCGTTTGCCCCTTCTTCTACCAATTTTCTCTTCCTTTTACCCATTTTCCTTTTCATATCTTTCTCCTTTTTCAGGTTACCCCTATTCCATTTATTTACCCTGTTCCAGTTTTTTTGGCTTCCCACTTAACATTAGGGAGGGGTCTTTAATAGTAGAAATATATACCCTTGACTTAGCTTTATTAATAGCAAGTTATTAAATAATATACCTCGGTGTAAAGTCGTGTGAATTTTCTGTTCACTTAACAAAACTGTAGAAACTAGGTGATTTTAAATTTATTGGCCCTGAGGGGTGAATTTATCGGTCTACACTTAGTTTATCCGCAGTGTTGATTCGCATAGAAACAGCCGAGCACGTGGATATATAACTCGTGCATGACTTTTAGCTGAGGTTTGTCGATATTGGTTTCTACAAACAATGACAATATAAGGCATACAAAGCAACGTACCAGGCCTGTTTTCTTGGATATATCAATAGCATTGATCCATCTAGAATGTGCACATACTTCGCAATGAATACTGCCAGTTTTGCTATCAAATACGCGAATATGCCCAGAGCCATATGCTCCAATGATAAGATCACCCATAAAGCACAGCGACGAGCATGGGTAGCTGCAAAAAAGACGCATGGCTAGTTCATATTTAAAAGTAAACTCGTGGAATGAAAAGAACAAAACAAACTATATCGTTGATTCCACCGAGAGAACTAAATCAAACTCCCATTGGTTCCCCGAGGCGGTGTCCTCCAATAAACAGCTAAAGCGAGAAGGTTTTAATCCCCAAGTGGTACGTATGTTTTGTGCACAGGGAAAATCGAAAGTCGACATTACAAAGCCCTAACTACTCGCTCGCCAGGTTAAGTGAGAATAAACTTGCAAACAAGATGCTGTTATGATAGGATCAAGCTTTCTTAGGCCATTATCAAAGCTACTTCTCCACTTATTCAGCAACAGAATAAGCAGCATACATTTCAAAAATATAAAATACAGACTTCAAGTCAGACGCATCGCATCCATTCAGCTATGATACAACGAGCTTACTATCAACCTATAGATTAAGTCTTTTGAAATGCAATGTTTATAACTGGATGCAATATGGTAGAATAATTTTAAGAGAATAATTTTCTTTGGCTAGCTTTCTAAAGCCCACAGTAATATGCTAGTCATATGAGGCTTCTTCATTGTTGTTAGTTGCTTCATAGCAGGGGCGGACACTTGGTCAAATATTGGGGGGGGGCAAGCCTATTGTTTTAATAAGATGCCGTCGCCCCCCCCCCAAGTGTCCGCCACTGCTTCATAGCTAAACGCTCCATAACCTTTCATAATAACAATCTCCCTTATTCCCCCCTGTCTGCCTCCTAAAACCAATTATCCCTTGAAAAAAGGTGGCCTACCCATATCCATTAATCTCTATCAATTTCACAAAATGACCACCAGCCTTCCATAGTATGATTTTTCCACTCTCGTCTGATGTGGCCATTCTGTCTCCTTCAGAAGCTATGTCACAAATGCTACACGAGTGCTCGTCCAGAGTCTCCTGCAGTTTCACAGCTGGGCCTTTTGTTGGCACAGAAAAAACTAAAATATGGCCATCTGCAGTTCCTACAATCAAATTGAGGAAATTTGAAGAATGCTAAAAACGGTAAATTCAGTACATGCTGTCTTTCATGGCTGGCGGTTTAAAAATTCTTGCCCTCTTAAGGAGAAGCATCAAATAGAGAGAAGCGTTAAAAACTGTGGTGTGGTGCCAAGACAAAACAAGAGAATCAAGTTAACATATCTACCATTTTGAAAAGTAAACAAATTCTATACAATCTAATTCATACCCCTAAAATAAAATAGGGTCTAAAAGCAGAGGCTAAAAGGATTTTGCACTTGGCCTTTAGATGGGGCATCAAAAAGGGGGTGTTAAATAGAGGATTTACCATTCACATATAATTCTATTTCATAGTAATCAGCTACTTTATGGGTATCTCGGTGCCTTTTTCTGGAGGGGTGTTTTCCATCCCCTTTTAAAAATTGTCTTTAGAAGCAGTTATGAAATTTGCAACTGAAAGTGTGAAACTGAAATTTTTTTAGCCAGTGCTATTTTCTTTCAAAATGTCATCAGGATGTTCTTTTAATACTGTTTGTCATTTTCTACAAATTTATCAATGACAAAAAACTTGCTAAAATACAGACACTCTCTGTGTGCAAAAATGAGAGTACAGCGTTTGATTGGGTCCTATTCAGTATTCAGAATAAAAGGGCAAATTTATCTTTAAGGTCAATTTCTTAGAGCTTAAGGACTGGTTTTCATTCTGAAGAAACGTTGAGTTGAGAATAATATTGTGATATTTTTCCAATCAAGAAACATATAAAAACTATCAGTAAGGAATTTGACTGAATGTTACTGGGTGAAAATAGGACTTCAGTGCAAATTAAGTTGAATTAAATTCTAGCTCTCACAGTGTCATACATTCAAATTTTTTAATGGGTTGACAGTAGCAGGTTGAGGCTGAAGGAAATTCCATGTTTGACATTGTTCACATGACTACACCTACTCAATCACATGAAAAATTGATTTTTCAAAGTTATTGGCAACATGACCCAACATAACTGCAGTTATTCTTACAGAGCTTCTACAGCTATGACCAGAGTAATGTTGACACAATGACAGTATCTTCAAATGATACTTCTTTCATCACTCAGCATCAGGTATGTTTAAATTTCAATTATTTGACAAATATTTACCAATACAGATGTGCTCATCCCCAACAGATGATATGCCTCTGGCAAACTGTGCATGTCCTGCGTGAAGAAAAATTACTCAAAAAAACAAGAAATACTAGAAAAAGGTAGAAAAAAGACAAACAGGAACTGTTTTTCCCTATTGGGCTTCAGCTGTGAGTGGCCAGCAGCTACTGACAGGTAAAAACAAAGAACCAGTCAATGCTTCCCCTGACATTATTTTCCATCTCTGTCTAGAAATAGATCTTCCCTTTACCTATGGGTCATTGCTCAACGAGATATGTAAAAACTTAGCTTGTAAAACACAACTTGCTTCATGGCCTGGGCAAACCAAACACTGCACCAAAAATTCTTGATTTTATATCTCAGTGGTTTTACTACATGTTGGTTTTCTACAGTTTAAACAATTCTTGTCAGTGTAACTTCAAACTGGGATTCTACTTTACTATTTTGCATCAGAGTATTATCTTTAGAAGCAAAAATACCTTCAGTTGGATTAGGTGATAGTGCTTGCCAAAATACCATAACAGCTCCATCATCTTCAAACATCTGCGTATGATATCTTCAATTAAATCATTGTACACATTTTTGGCTTAGGTAAAAAAACTGTACTTTGTTTTTACAAAGAGAAAATGAAATTTTTTATCATTCTTGGAGCATCACCCACTGAAAATGTAACATTTTTTTATAAACAATACTAGCATAACACTTCATAAACAATACAAGTTTAGAAAATTCACAAACCCATTAATGGGCTTTTCATTAGAAAAATTGTGATTCTTTAAAGAGTTTTAGTAAAAATTATTAACATGTTTTGGAATGAAGTGTGAATGATGGCTTCTAAGATAACAATACTTTTTACATGGGCATTTCAGTGAATTCTATCTGCCCGTGTTAGCTCAGTTGCACAAAGGACTTGACAGACTTCCTTATGAATTATGAATGGGTAGAAAAAACTAGGTTGAAAGTATGCAAAGCAAAAAGAAGCCTTTCTTTTTAAGCAAATGTTCAATAAATAACTTTTCTTTCTCTAAGGGAATTTTCAATATTTCACTATTAAAATTCTAAAAGAAATCATAGTGATGAAACCATTATATTAAATATTAAAGGAATAAATGAAAATGTCTAAATGCTAAAAAATAAATAAAAGTACCTGCACTCCTCTAACTGATGCTAATATTAACAGAGTTCTTTGTGGCAAAGAGCACCATTTAGCCTGAAAGCAATATAGAAAAACATTGATTGAATGAATCAACATTGAATTGCAAGAATCAAACATGAATGCATATCAAAATAAAAAATAAACACATATATACAGTCTTTGTCATATGAGGCGTGCGATTCCATGAGGCACGCCTACACACATGCCCAAACTGTCCAACGCATGCAAATCATTGCACGCGCAAAACAAATAAATTGCCATAAAACATTACTTATGTTTGGAAGATTTCTAAATCAGCGGTAAGTCAAAATTGCCAAATTCAAAGGTAGTTCTGTCGTTTTCCAAGGTGTTGTGAAAGTACTCCTATACAGGATTTAACAACGGTGTCGCAAAGTAGTTACACCAAGACCGCTTAACATTACAGTTATTTAACCAAGAGGCTGCCAAGGGGGAGCAATCTGCAATCAACACCTGGTATTTTATTCCAAGTTTTGATCCAAGAGTTGTCTTCACTGTTCACTTGATTATTCTGTTCTTCGGTGATCATGGCCAAAGGAAACAAAGTGGACCTGGCGACATTCATGGGTTGGGGAAAGAACGGAATAATCGGAAAACTACAAATGCTATACAGTAAAATGGAGATGTGACTTTGTATTGCAATCAATGATAATATATGGAGTGATAGAGAAAGATAAAATATCTTGAAAAGGGTGCTCTATCTTCCGAAGAGCAGAAAGCAAAAGCTTGATAATGTTTTATCAGTATATCAAAGAAAGCTAAGCTAGAGAAAGAGGAGGAAACTGAAGAAAGCTCTGAGGAAGAAGAGGAAATGTCTACTGTTTTTAAATTATTTCAAACTGTTATCGAACGTTTTTTAAGATTAAGAGCTGTAAAATCATGTTTTTGTGTTCAAAGAAAGTGTGTTTATGTCGACCTTTGTGTCATTTCTCTACCCATTCCTTCTCATTCAATTGATCGCTGAATTCTATATAATCGCGGAAAGAACACCAATCAAATGGTAAGATATTTTTTAAGAATATATGTTTTCCGCTATGTTAACGATGATGCTGAAGTCAGTGATGCTGCATGGTAATTTCTTGACAATGCATGGTAATTTCTACAAGCAATTGAAATTTTTTTCAACCTTTGTACCACTAAAGGATTGTTTCCATATCTTTAAATGATTACAAAAATATTTTAAGCAGCAACCTATAGTTCTTGACAACAGGAAAGAGAAACAACAGATAAAAAAGCTGTCCACATCGCACGCCATCCCACGCGTAAAGTAGTCAAGAGATGCGAAATGCCTCACGCGGTCTATTTTCATAACAAAGACTGTGTATACAGGAAAATCAAACAATAGCAAGTATTGTATAATTGCTACAGGTGAGAAGGCATGGGAATTCTCTTGGGTATTATTTTTGTGTTTATTTTGAAAAAAAATTGTATGAAACAAAGCTATGATAGATTAATAGTTTCCTTCTAATGAAGATCTTATTGAATATCTATAGTCTATTATGAATAAAATGAAATAAAAAAATAAACAATTTATGACTGGGTATCATACTTTATGTATCTGTTTAAAATGGGAGATTCAATCTCATACAAAATTGAAAACTGTGTACCTGTAAAATATTTGAAGCAGAATGCATATTTTCCCCTTTACAGTGAACTTGCTTATACGGAAGGGCACCATCCGTTGGCTGCTTCAATTTAACCTCTTTAGGGACAAAAACCCAAACAAGAGACTTGTGAATAACTGCAAGCTTGCATTCATCTACAGGTTTGCCTGAGCTTTTGAAAACATCCAAGTTATTGCATAAAATTGATGCACTGGACTTCACTTGAACAGAATCTCCTCTCTTGTACATTGTTAGAATTCTAGGTAAACAAAAAGAAACAAACTTATAGTAAAATACTGTACTAATACTTGATTTGTCTACAATTTCAATTCTTTTGAAATTATTGAATAAATTTCATAAAAGTAAATGAGCAAAGCTGCAGGGTAAAGCCATGATTTGTTTGTTTCAACTTCAACCAAATAACATCACATAAATACATATATTATCAAATGGTTAAAACATCACATCGTTAAAGCACATATCTTGAAAGAGCAGGGTGGGACAATCTAGCTTGCATTGATCTTTGTATTTGCTGTAGGTAGTGTGTGGATTTCTTTAGAAGAATGCATCACACTGTTCATTCTCAGGAATAAAATTTCACACAGCGTATTTGTTCAAGTTTTGACAATATTTTTTTACCTACTCTAAAAAAGAAATCTTTGTTACTCTGCTTACTTGAATTTATAGCAAAAACTTACTTGTTTTTTCAAAATGGTCCTCTATTTCCAAGGCAACCGAGACTGTTTGCTTTTCCACAAAAAACTGGCCTTCCCGTACGAGTACACACCTGGGCCCGTTGCACGTGCAGGTGTAATTGATTTTATAAAAATGGTTGGCTACGGAAAACACGATCCCTTTCAGCTAGTGTTTTGCAATATGGCTGCGTTATTATTTTCAGATACAAGCCATACCTTTGTACGCCCTACCAGCAGCAAGCAGTAGCGTCTGAAGATACCAGTTGTACAATTCAGGAAACTCAGTATGAAGTAGTGGCCTATGCTGTCTAGCCTCGATCTGAGATCAATTTGCGCAACGTCCTATCAGAGCTGCCTTGGCGCTTGCTAATTTAGACTGTTTTTGATAGGGGACTCGAGGATGGTGGGGGGGGGGGGTAATTTGAGGAGATGCTTATAAAATCATTTCCAATTTCCTGTCGTTGGTCTTATTTCAGTGTAGCCCTTGCTTCCTTGACATTTAGAATACGAATAGACCACGACCCCGAGACCCCACCACGGGCATAGCCCTCCGAAAAATTTAAGTAGCTTTAATAGAAGTAATTTAAGTTTTTGCGCTATAAATACTTCAAATTAAAATGAAAGTCCCCCAACTTTGCGTTATAAACTACGATCCAAATCATGTACGATACATACTTGTGTTGGTTGTTCTGCTAAAAAAGCCTGACTTCGGCCATATCTGGCAGGAGTCAAGTTTGAAAATGAAATATTAAAAATGATCATATCGCTGTTTAGTAAACAAGTAGGAGAAATAAGCGCGTAGCTTCAGGAACACGAATAATGACAACACAAGTCGATTTTATTTTTCTCGTCAAAACAACATCGATGCTGGTAAGCGAAGCTAAGGGTTCGTATCAAAATAGTCCTTTAAGACCTACATGATACAATTCATATAAGTTGTAATATCAATTTCATTTCTTACTATATGCTTAATAATAGAAAATACAAGCTATTTTACAAAATAACACACAATAACATAAACAATACTGGCTTAGGGTGTTGCTGTGCAAGTGGATGCTAAAGAGAGATGCACGCCAGGATTCGCACCTCAATTTCAGGTATACAAGGTTGAAAAACAAGCGTAATGTTAACTAGAACGCATTTCTTAAAAAGGCCATTCTAAGGAGGCCATCAAAGTTGAAGTTTGAGTTTTCCGATGACTTATGGAATAAGCTTTGCTGAACGATGCTCACTTATCTTCTGAACTTGCTTTGGAATATGGGCGTTACTATGAGCAAAATTATCCCACTTTTCAAGTCATAAGCTGGCAGGTGGGATGAAATCACCACATGTTCACATGCAAATTTCATCCCACCATACAGTTCATAGTTTCTTTTTACTCAACCTCTCAGCTCTCACTTCATACGCAAACACGTTATTATTTTAGAAGCTCGAGTCTTACCCCTCAGCCCATGGCATGGAAGATGGGACAATTTTGCTAAGAAACAACGGACATAAGAACGAAATACCTTAAGGTGTGAATGTGTTTGTCAATTATAAGTAAAATCGTTTCACACGAAAGACAGGTGAAGGGGGTGTAAATATCAGAGGTTGTATATTTGAGTTCAGCATAGCAAGTGCCATGATTCACTCTATTTTCTTCATCTGACTTCGAATTGGTGTCTTTTGTTCTTGTGTAGGTGGGGAGGCGGTACAAGTTGGCGTGTTTGAAAGATTTTCAACTTATAAATTATAGATAGACCCACGAAGACATCTGTAATGCGAGAATAGGAAACAAGAGGGATCTATTTGCAGCAGAATTGACATAAAGCTGGCCATATTCTATTGACAAACAGGTGGTTGCGATGCAAATGTAGCGAAAAGTACCTGCATACATCTTGATATTTCATATTACAAGGGATTACATAAACAAGTACATTGATGTCACCAAGGTCCATAGTTGGCTATTTTTTTTCTATCTTTAGGGTTATTTCTAAAAGAGGAGTTATGTGGTGGTATGGAGGTTTTACACTGGACAAAGCTTCTCTTTGGCAATAACAAAATGATCACATAAAACAAAAAGGAGCAAGCCTCGTAGAACTTTTTTGCAAAGCAACACAGCACATGTTTCACTAAAGAAAAACAACGCGAGGAATCAGCTAACTTAACTGCATTCACAAAATCCTACCTACTTTCCAAATGCTCGTTATATATTCAATTCATTAAATTTAAATAAATGCACTATTTCATCAACACAGTTCAATTTCCCTGATATTGATTTCTTCCGTGCTAGGCCGTACTTTTGTTCTGGGCTTTTCGATTATCATCTAAGCTTGCAGTACTAAAAAGTGTTGTCGGATTTCTTTTCTGGGCTCGATTGCTCCAGAAAATGCATGCATGGTTAAGATAAAAAGTAATACAAGAACCTTCACATTGTGTGGGAAAACGTAATTAAGGCATACTCAGGGAGTGGCCCAGGGGATAGGAGTTACCTAAAGTAGTGATTGACAAGAACTCATATACGCCCTAGCCACACAAATCAATCATTGACATAAAACATCATCTAGTTATTGTTGAAAAACATAACGTATTCGTTTGTTCACCAGGTTTTATGAATTTTCCCAATGTTTGATGGCGTACTACGAAATTATATTTCCACCAAACTTTTCGTAAAACATTTTGTTTTCATGATTGATCAACAATCTTGCTGTCATTTGGCCACCTCACGAAACATATGCTTGACTCGCGCAAGCGCAGTAAGTTGAACTGCAGTAAAAACGTAGTAACTGAAGTTAGCCGTGCAGCAGCGCATGATAGTTTGACCAGGTTTTAAAACATCGTCCAAATATCTTGATGAGACGTTGATTAGAAAGGCCCAAACAAATTTTCTATTTCGTCTAAAGGTTGGAGGGGCAGTGGTGGAGAAATGGGAAGAGACATGATAGTCACCCATTCACAGAAAGATAAGTAAAGTCAAAAAGCATATAGCTCGTTAATCCTGGCTATCGTTTGAATATATCATTCTCTCTCACCACATACACCGATGCTTCTTTTATCTAACGAAACTTTTGAATATTTTAAGGCAAAGATAATCTCTTACATATGCTGGAGACATCTCCAACAAAGAGGATACTAGGAAAAGCCAATTCGACAAGCCACTAAGACGAGAATATAGCGAAACCAGAATAAATTTAACAATACCGCCCACTTACATTGCATGTACTCCAAACAACAACACGACCATACCGGGGAATAAGTCAGTTTCAGATATAAAAGCTATATTTTGAAAGCACCACGTGAACCAATCATATCATCCTGCAGATGGTGATATCTGTTCAGCCACTCGTCGATCATTTGGCCTACCAGGGCAGGCCTAGGTGTAACTTTCTGCTTGGCAACAAGAATGCCGTTGTTTGTGAAGCAACAGTCTAACCAAGATTGTAGTAAACGCTCCTCCTGGCCAATCTATAATAAAAGATGTACACGATGACCAACTTACGACAATCAACATAGGGTTGCAGTTCTCAAGAAGGAGATATAAGTGTTGCTATAAAAGTGAATTTGTCAAAGACGCTTATATATACTCATCTTAAAATAAAAAGTAGCCAAGAAGTCTTTCTGCACACGATAAGACGCTATGGAATCGCTGAATATTAACAAACATAAAACAATATTTTATAAATTTTTGCATCTGTTCAATCTAACTAATATTCCGTAAAACGAGCAAAAGTTTCAAGATCGGCATTGGGATTGCACTCCTGCAAATTGTGTCATTTGAACCACATCGCGACCTGTTCTAGTCCCACACAACAGTTTTCCAAATGTCTTTCAATCAAGCCTTTAGATCGATTTAAAACCCGGTTATTACCGCGTAGAAATCAATAAGTATGATCGCATTGAGAGGAAGGACATTGCTCGATAAGCAAAGCTTGTCAATGTCCTAAAAACTACATCCGGAAGCTAGGTAGATAGAAATACAAATAGTCTATCTTTTTTGTCTTGAATAATATCTCCTACATGAACCGAAATGCTCAAGCAAGATGAAAGAATTAAGTTTTTTATTCAAACCACTTCTAATTTGTTTCATTTAAGGAAAAGAGTTACTTAGTGGTTACTTACTTCTTCTACAGTTTGGAAATGTATTGGAAGCAACCGTCCCTCGTGATCAACCAGGGGTAAATATGTCACATGGGTATCTTCGTTGACATCTACACTAGAACTTGCACCAACATTTCTCTCGTTCAGTGATTCCATTGGCACAAGAGCAGAAAAATGGCCACGAGTGTATCCAAGAGCAATAGGGGTTTTCATGCAAAAATCTTCTTCCCACAACAGGGGCAGATAAACACCTGGACAAAGAATGAAAATTATCAGGTTTTGGTTTCTCGCTACGATATAAAGTAATTGTTTATAAAAAAGAACAGAAAAGAAAGAGGGCATTTCTACACAAGTGATAAAACTGGAAAGAAAAACAGTTTTATTTCACTTTCTAGAGAAGATATATTTTCTTACGTGGCACAATCGCTGACAGGAGATACTGGTCTAGTGTAAGAATATGAGAAAAGTTGTGATGGACTAATTTTTTAAAATGTAATAGTTTTGTTTTGGTACTGGAAAATGGATTTTCAAAAGTGATGGCAGAAAGAAATTAGAGGTAAATGGGAGGATGGTAATCCTTTAATTTGAAAATTTGGGCATCGCCTTGTAAAACAGTCACGTAAAGAGCATGACAGAGAGGCATGGAAAGTTCTACTCTATCGCCCCTTCTTTATACCGCCTTTATTGCCAAATTTTCACGGCATCTCTGGGGGAATTTTTCCTCGCAAAAGTTTCTTTAAATATATCTTTGTCACTTTGTACAGACTTATCTGAAAAATTTTGGTAGATGCTTCGCGAGTGAAAACGTTTCTTTGTTACAAACTTCCTCAAATACCTCCATTTTATCACAGGATACGAAGAATATATTACATTGATTATTACTAAAAAGGGTACAATTTGATTGCCTTCAATTATCGACACTCAATAAGCGACTAAAAAACTGTTTGTGCGATAGTTGTAGGCTTAAATCGAAAGAATACCTATGGCAGGGAGAGATAGTATTATTTCTGATGGTTCAAAAGTTTTCGTAGGCTGATGAAAAACACGCTTGGTATGCATTTTCACGGGTTTCTATTCTTGGATTTTAATCGCTTTTTTCTTGTCACAGCGACTTTACCGTACAACGTCGTACATATTACTGTGATCTTAACGATAGCTTCGTCTCTAGATACGTTGGTACATCAATGAACCCTGAATCCACAAAAAGCGAAGCCAAAGCGAAACAGACTGGTTACCTTCAAATCTTGCATAGTCAATGGTCTCTCCTTTCCTACTTTTGACGTATTTGACTGCATATACAATAATAGGCCGTCTTAAAATATGAGCTAATGCAAAAACGTGCGTCTGTTCCAAGCTTGTACCAGCCGTTCCTGCCAGTGACACTGTGTTAAGCCAATCCTGTTTCCATTGATGGTCATCCAAAGAATAGTTCATCTCACTGGCTTGAATTTGCTCTGCCTCCTTCCATCGCGGAAAAAACCTGCAAAAACGTGAGCATTAGGAATCAGATTGAGTAAACAAGATCGAAGATTTATACAACACCTCGACTATTCTAAGAATTTTAAATGTAATTACAGTGGAATCCCGATATAACGAACTCTGAAGGGAACAAGAAAATAGTTCGTTATATTGGGAGTTCGCTAAACCGAGAGATACTGTTTTTTAGGCCCTTTCGCAGTTCCACCTAAAAAACCTGCGATTGGCCTGTTCAGGCTACCTCCAACCTCTGTGCACATTTAACTCTAAAAAACCAATCTAAACTCAAATAATACAACTGGTTGGTCATTGAAAATGAAAATCTTAATGTTCCTTTTATTATTTGGGACCAAGAGATTGGCAAAGCTGGTATCACTTCACACCTAGTTCGTGCTTGAATGATGTCTTCGATTACTTCACATCCCTAATTGCCTTCATCTGCTTCTCCATCTGGGTCTCTCAATAACGTTTGTCGTCACAAATTGCCAATTATTCATATGTAAGAAGTTATTCGCTAGTGTACATGAACTCATTCGCAGTAATTTCTGACGCAATCAAACTTTCATCTCGTGCATTGAGTCTATCAGCCATTGCTTGAAATGTATCATCGGCATGTTTTACCGATTGAAAAATGACTTTCCCCCAAGAGAGAGTGATAAATGAACACCAAAAATAAATAAACAAAAATAACAGATGAAAGATTTATGAAAAGTTCGTTATATCGAGGGTAATTATGATGAAGGGACCTAAAAATTGGTTCGTTATAACGAGAGTTCGTTATATCCGGAGTTCGTTATACCAAATAAATTTGTAAGGAGTTTTCTAGGCAAGGGATCAGACATCCAAGGGACCAGACACTTAGTTCGTTATACCGTTATATCGGGATTCCAGCGTAATGGGTACAATTTTTACCTTTTTTGTCCTTCACTAAGGCTTTCAAACAGTGCTCTTCTTAGAATATTTTCTCTATCTAAAACACCCCAAGTTGCCTGCAAAACTGAGTCAAGCAGACAGTCGCCGGCAGCTCTGTTCCATAATGGATAGATCCTACTGCTATAGTATCCAATCAATTCGCTGCTCCAGTTTATCAACGACTCTTCTTCCAGCACTGAAATGATAATGAACATAAGACAACACAAGATCTTTGCAAATAACGAGAAATAAAAAGGACATGACACAATAGGGAATTGCTGCAGCTGACATCACTTTCCGACGTCGTCACTTTAGAACCCTTAAGCCCAATCTCCAGTGAGAAAAAATCGGCGAAATGTGAAAAAGTTCGCGCGCAATACGTCTTGAGCATGCGTAGTGAACTTTTGCTCGGATTTCTCGTGATGAATTTCTCTGCGAAAAAAAAGTTCAAACGAGGCTAACTTTCTTCGCTTTTCGCTTGTGAAACCCTTCCACAGCCAATCATAATCCGTATTGCATTGTCACGCTTCCAAACTTTATATTCGCGCTACTAAGAGCTACCCAGTCTATTTAATTAGAATCGTCCACCACTTAAAAATTAATGTTTGCTGTCATGATCAACCCGCCTTTCGTGGCTATATTAGCATTCAGAGAACCTTATACGGTGCTTATGCACAGAGAAACTGCGCCTGCTTCATGAAACATAAAAGCCTTTTAAAGCAACGTAAAACATAGCTGAAACAATTTAAAAAATTTTTATCATTAATTCTTTTGCACACATCTATCACAGCTCTGACCTGAAAGAATTCATTCGAAAATCAACAGAGAGCCCAACGTGCCAAGAATTTCAACAAATCAATTTTTGTGGAGAGATTGTATGAATAATTGATCAAATGTTCTTTTTGTTAAAAATTCATTGCAGGGATACACAGTTAAAGATTTTGACAGTGCAGATGGGAGATGTTGATCCATTCTCTTTAAAAATTGCTGCAGAGCTGTACGCTCGGCTATGTGACTCGATGTTCAATAATTTCTATTAGAGAGTTTCTTGCTTAGAATATAAAATTGATCTCTGGCAGCTCAAAATATAAATATTTGCATTCTGTTCCCTGCCATCACTCGCTGATAGCTTTAAATCTGTTAGGGTCACAGAACATCAAAAGTTACTCGGTCAAAAAATACTGATGGACGAGAGCACATTATCAGATATTTAATGAAAAAAACCGAGAAGCAATTAACTTCACATGTCAAAAACGCAATCTGCTTAGGCATGTTTTGAACAAGAATCGCACATGTAAGCAAATGTTCATCACAGTAGCTTTATGATGTTCACAAAACGAGGTTCTGTTCTTCAAGTATCAACTACCAAACTGAAATTTTTCAAACACATTTACTATGGTAATTCCAGTGAAGTACTGGTTTTTTCGTACGACTTGATTTGTTGTGATAAGTGATAAGAAACATCTGCTTAAACGTTTTAGGGCAAAACAAAGACGAATATCTTACCTTTTTGCACATCTAAATCCAAAATTTCGCTGAAAATTTGTTGCTGAATTCTGACATCGAAACTATGAATCTCTACAAAAATAAAAATAAACAAGTGGTATCATGTGTGGAATTGATAAATAAAACTAATCAAACCATTATGATTCCAGCAAATGTTTTGCTAACACAAGAATGACTTCCTTGTCTCGAAGGTATAGGATTGCCAAGCACATGAGAACATTTGCAGTTTTCACTTGTGCTAGCAACAAAAAAGACAATAGTTTAAGGGTTTTTACGAACGTTGACAGTGGTTTAGTCTTGCAGCTAGTCAAAGTCAATTGATTGCAATTTTAATATTGAAAGAAATATTTGGCTTTCACTTTTTTCAAACTTAGAGTATAAAAATACAGATCGAAATTGCCCTACAAGAGTAATAAGATATGGCTTTAAGATTTTAATCAGTAAGTTTTCTTGATACGTTAGAATTTAATTTAATACAAAATAAGCTCTCTAATAATATCTTATATAATTATTAAATAATATCGTATCTAATCATATCTTATCATTGCATAGCTATTCATAATATGCCTCCTGCAGGACCAAAACAAAGTGTTCCTCAAAAATTTGAACAAAATGCATAATGAATATTGACAATCATAGCAGAAATTTTTTCAAAATATGCAAATTCTAAGCCATGTGCAAATCAAGCAAACAATAATTCTAAAAATATTCACAGATAAGTTTCTAAATAGAATGATAAATGAAATTGACTCTTAAATAAACTATAGGGTAGCCATGGGAGGATTTTAATGAGATCTAAATTGATGATGAAAGATCAGATCAAATCGACATAGGCCTGAAACTGTTTTAGAAAACCATACAAAGGTAGTTTTGGTGTACACCCTCTGTATATTGTTCTGTACAATTAGAGGTTGCAGGTGGCTGCCAGGGAATACTTCAAGATATTAATTCTTAGAAAATTTTTAACAGAAAATGATTGCTTTTATGTCAAAGGATTGTAACAAAGCATGTCTGTATTCAAATATTAGTACAAATTGGAAATCTGGCTTCCTCTTAAAAATGGGAGGTCATTGCCCTCAGCTTAGGGGTAGCAAACAGAGGTGTTTTGGATCAAACTAAAAGCGGGGGAGGGACCATCCAGACCAGACAGGAAAAACCATCCAGGAACACTTCAGTTCAACAATTTGTGCAAGCTTAAACTTTACTTAGTGTGAAATGATTCCCATGATTAGAACAAAAAATTCCCACCATTTGAAGCCAATTTTGCAACAAATATAAAGCCAAGTGATTATACTTGGAAGTATTCCAGAAGAAACACAAGAATAAATCATAGGTTAAAACCAATGGTGCAATATTTCCAAAATGATGTCTGGTTTAATGACCCTTCAATATTGGGCAAAAACAGCTTTCACTCTGAATATTTAGAAAGGGTTGATCAGTACAATGAAGCAAAGTATTGGGGAAAGACACTGACACAAATAAAAAATTTAAAAAAATTAAAGAAAAGTGTTCATAAAAAAGAAACTTTTTTTGGGATACACTAAGAGAAATGTTTTCAGAGTAAGGTTCTTGTGGAGTATTTTAGCATGAATGTGATCAAATTGTGTCTATGTAGGTTTCAAGATAGCTTTTCCAAAAATTCCCTAGCTCTTTTCTTTCAGGCTTTGAACGTTTAGGTATTAAAAAATAGATGATTCTAAATGAAGCTTGAAGGTATTGCAAAATAAGACTTTTAAGAAGAATAAAAATTCTACAGGTACTAAGAAACAGGATACAGTGTTTTGGAAGAACTAGTTTGAGACCAAGTTTACAAATATCCAATACTCTATATACTCTTTTGGTGATTATGATGATTAACAAATAAAAATATATGAATTCCCACCAAAAACTCCAAACCACTACTATAGCTATCAAAACAAAACATTTAGTGGAGGTCACTATCATATTATTTATTGTAAAAATGTATGAGATCCAGAACTTCCTTGAGGCTAACTGTATCTTACCCCTAATCTAGGGGCAATTTTATGCCCTTTGACATTTCGAGGAGTGGGGAGTTTTTTCAACTTTAAAATTACTAACTTTAATGAACTATCAAACTTTTGCTGCTTATTATGAACATAAGAAGGAGCCATGCTTCAAACTTGGTTGGAAAACTGAAAGAAAAATTTTATGGAATTTGCATCACTTCCACTATCAATTTTCTTTTTTGGATGATTTGGATTTAAGTTAATTTTGTCACCAAAAGAAAAGGATATAGAAAAAACAAATCTAACAAAAAATTTACCTCCAGGAAGAAAGAATGTGACTTGCTCAGTAAAAAACAGGCACTGGAATGCTCCTTTCTTTTGCCTTAGAGAATACGCAACTTGTTTTCTGATGGCTGCAGCAAGGTCTGGACTGAGGTGTGACGGAAGCCTCTTTAGAGACCGGGATGGTGGCTCTGGTCTTAGCAATATACGCAAAATATCCTCTCTTTGAAATGTAATAGCAAGATGTACTAAAGTATGTCCAATTTCAAAATTTTCAGGCTCACTAAGAACAAGAATGTCTTCTTTTGTCAACTGTCTAGTTCTATCTCCACCAGCAGACAGGTATTTCTTGACAGCTGTCACATTGTGATCTCTGATACCTCTACAAGCAGCAAGCCATAGCCAATCTTTGTTGGTCATTTTGTTTCGAATTTGCAAAATATCTTCCCTGTCATTCCTTAGCTTGCATGATGCTTGCAGTGAATCAGAGAGTTGTATCACTGCTTCATCCTCAATTCTCGCTACTTCAATTGAAGAATCACTAGATTTCTTACAAGCACCAAGAGGTGACCTTGGTGACCTAGGAGGTGAGTTTTTTAGTGAAGGTGATGAATGTGACTTCTTTGCATTGCCTACCTTCACCATTCCCTCATCACTTCTGGCTCTATTCTTTGGTGTACTGCAAAGTGCACACTTTGGAGACTTTGGCCAATTCTCAAAAGTGCACTTTGAGCATGGCCACTTGCTTGACTTTAGGAGTGATTTAGTTTTTCTTTCAATATTGGAATCATTCCTTACATTTGAGTCAGAAACAAAGTTGCTCTCAGCATTTTCTATATTTCGCTGTCTTACTGCATCAGGTTTTCTTTCTTGGCACATGATACATGTTTCACTCTTACTGGGATTTTGATATGTACAAGATTGACAAGGCCATTTATTATCAACTGCTGACTTCTTTTTTGAAGGATACTGATGTGCACCTTCACTAGGACAAATAATCTCATCAGAGCTACTTCTAGACAACTGGCCATCTCCACTGTCATCAATAACATCACAAGCAGCTAGATTTGATGGCTTAACAGCTCTACACATAACACATCGCATAGCCGTTGGCCAATTAAGATAGGTGCAATACTCGCATGGCCATTTGATATTCTGTTCGTTTCTTGGCATTTTGTCGCGTTTTTCGATTCAGCTGCTTCTCTGTCAATTTCCGATGCTAGTAATTTATCTCTCAACTCAGATAGCTCTTCCTGAAGACCTGATGTCCAGTATGTTCTAGTCAACAACAAGTGCTTTTCGCTCTCATCTCATGACCATCCTTTTCCGCTCGACTCAAGGCCTAGGTTTTGGTTTATTTGTTTTGGTAATTTCACTACGCCTGCTGGGCAACTACTCGGGGCTAAACCCTGATAGTTTTTAAGTCCGTTCTTCTCTAATCATGGTAAAATAGACTCGTAATATCCTTAAAACTCACGTATATCCAATCTGCTTGAATTCGAGAGTTTAAATGATACAAAATCGAGGTATTCTTCTTTAAGTAAATGGCTTGAAAAAAATACACAGATACGCGATAAACTTCACTTCGGCAGGCTGGTCGCAGCGAGGAATATCGGGTCGTCAAATTATTCTCTTCCCTGGCATCTGAGAACTCAAAACATGATTAGAAACAAGCGAACTATGTTAAAATTGACGTCATACAGTTCACTTAGCACATTCTAGTTCCAAGCGACCATGATTGGATTAATTGGTGGACTTTGAATCTTCTTAGGCCATGTTGTTTCTGCTTTCCATTTGCAAATCAGTCCATTTATTATCTGACTGCGGTTCTTTACGTCATAAACTGAGATCTGGGTACTAGTCTTTGGATTTCTCGAAAACGTTGTCCACTGCCACAGCGAGAAAATTCCAAAACGGGGAGTTCGCTTTTGCAAAAGCTTTTGCATTTTTTCATTGCCTTCGTCCTCTGCAAGCTGAGAATTTATGTCACCAGTCAGTTTCAAGTTCGCTATTTGGTACAGTATAACTTAGTGGAAGTTTTCTAAAGTTGTAAAAATTAAAGATAAAAAAACTCATATCGAGCCCTGCCAATATGTTTGCAAATTTTACTCACCCCTGCCAGTTCGATACAAAATTTGCTTTCCGCTGTCATATATACCTGCTGTCAGCTTTGGAAAAAATTTCTCGCCGGGTGTCAATAAGATGGAAAGAAAAATTACCAGATAATCTTCCAGTGCTCACCCGTTCCCAGTCTCTTCGCCAAATTCACGAGCTCTGTCCCACAACTCATCCTTCATCCTTTCCCAGGTCTTGTTGACTTTGGAACTCTCTACCCTATTCAACACTAAAATTAACAATATTTCATGCCTCTCCTCCTAACCCCTTTTTCTCCATTTCCTTGTTAGGGCTTTTCTATAGCGTAGTCGACAAATTTTTCATAAACAACTTTAGTTTGGAAGTATATTAGTTTCTATTGACGAATTAAAAATGAGAAATATCCCACGTCTCTTGAAAATGCAGTCTAAGATTCAGAATATATTTTTTAAAATCTCTCATAGAATGAAGTTGAATCAGATTAATGATGAGATTAGACGTTTTAAACGCCAAGAATCACGAGCTTTGTTTACAGGATCAAAACTTTCATTTGGCATAGTTGCACGCCTTCAGAGAAAAATTAATCAAAAAAAGATCAATATCTCAACTTAACTTATGAATTGGAGATATGTCAATCATATCTTGAGAGGCCAACCCTTCCTTTTTACTGTACATCTGCATGACCTGACTTAAGCAAAAAAAACGAAAAATATTTGGACGATATGATAACCCACAATCTTAAGCTACTTTAAAGATAAATATGCATTAGCGAACGTAAATATTAATAACTTATAGCATAATGAAGTCCTTTGAAAGGAAATTTCCTTCTCCAACTTTGACATAAGCCGAGAAAGCAAGCCCTCCAACATCTGGAACATCACAATTGCTCGAAAATACAACATCGCAACAAAATACACATAATCAAGGTATCAAAAAAGTTACTTGTGAGACCAGCACTCTTCTACACCCAAAAATTTCAATGTTGTATCAACATATTGGATATCTATATTGAAATAATTTTATTTTAGAAAATGAGATAAAATATGTTTTTAACAAAGGACATCCAAACCTCTTATAACAGGCAGAATGTTACTTAATTGCAACCTATCACTTATTGGTGTCATACTAATGAAAATTAAACATGTAGTAAAACACAGTAAAGCAGTCGTAACTAGCTTGAGCAAATCTAACTGGCTTGAGCAATTCTAATGAAATAATGTAGAGCTTCTAAGCCGGGTTAAAATTAGCACAAAAATACACTGACTGCTCCAGTTCTAATGAAATGACATTTAATTGATCTGTGTTTTAGTCAACAATTGCTAGTTATTATAATTATGATTCGAAGCAAGAATATATATACTCTGTGCACTAAGGGCCCGACGGAGTCAAACTAATGCGTTTTTGCCTTTGCATTCACACTACTCTGCTCTGCTATCATATCATATCACATCATATCATATCATATCATATCATATCATATCATATCATATCATATCATATAATATCATATCATATCATATCATATCATATCATATCATATCATATCATATCATATCATATCATATCATATCATATATATTGCATATCATATCATATCATATCATATATACCTATATATCAATATCATATCATATCATATCATATCATATCATATATAATCATCATTCATATCATATCATAATCCATATCATAATATCATATCATAACACATCAATCATATCAATATCATTCATATATCATATCATATCACTATCATATCATATCATTATTATCATATCATATCATATCATATCATCATATCATATCATATCATATCATATCATATCATATCATATCATTCATCATATCATATCATATCATATCATATCATATCATATCATATCATATCATATCATATCATATCATATCATATCATATCATATCATATCATATCATATCATATCATATCATATCATATCATATCATATCATATCATATCATATCATATCATATCATATCATATCATATCATATCATATCATATCATATCATATCATATCATATCATGTTATAAAAACCTATCTCTATGAATTGAAAACATTGAATTGAATGTCCGCATTTGCCGTGTTGTAGTCGTAGTGGAAATGATTACGGGTTGGCTGAAATATCGAGATTAACTTCTTTTAGTGTAAAGAGATATCTCGTTATCCTTACTTATTTGAAAATAGCATGTTCTCATTTGCAAAATTTAGTCTTTAATGAATGTGTAAAACTTAGACAAAGAAGAGAAAATCGGTTATAAAGGGAACATTCATCCAGAGTTGACTATGCATTATCCTTAAACGGATATCTATATAGTCGTTGGTTGATTATTTAAATATTTAAACAAGTCTTTGTTTCCCTTTATTCAAGAATTCTATATCTAACTTGTCAGCTTTTAAATTTAGATAAGAACGGCTAAAGTTGGAAAATGTTCTGCACAAAGCTTACGTTTTGTGGTAAATACATATCTTTGTTCGAAGTAAGGCGTATTAATTTGCCAACTAAAGTCTTCTGAGTGAAAAGCTGTTCAAAGAAGAAGGCTGGTGGTGAATCTAGTTCGTTTTAGCTTTCATCCCCGCTGAGACATTGCTAGCAATCCTACATGTTCTAAATGCAGTTTGCTCTACATGCTCTAAAAGTATTTTTCATGCTCTAAAGATGATTAAACTGACTTCGTTTTTTGTTGTCGCAAACTAAAGGTATTTACGCTTAGCTCTTTGTTCCTATTCCCTGGAGAGATGAGGCAGCAATGCATCACTAACTAGTAAGTCAGCTCGAATAGCTGCTTAACGTCTTCACTTTCGTTTGCCATGGGCTTGGGATACCCATGCATGCCTATTGATCACGCAAATTGATCTGGTTAGAAGGATGTCCTAAACATTATTGAATGTTTGCAGGTTGACTGCAACTTTTTCAGGTTGTTCAAGAAACAGAATTACTGCTGATGAAAAATGAATTTTCATAAGTAACATAAGTTCCTTTTTATTTCTCTTGCCTTTGCCATTCAGAGTAAAAACAGAGTTATATTTTATGAACAGCAGCATAAGCAAAATTTTAAATCAATATGATATATGATGGGTTTTTTACATCATGGATGCAGGGGGTGACATTAGCCTGAAATGAAAAACAGTGAACAGTTGTTGAACACCTTGTGAAAGACATTAAGGCAAATGCACGTGCTCTGTTCTCTGCCCCTCGCAAATGAAACTGTGATTCCTGAAACTTTCAGCAAGGGGAAGAAATAGCAAGTTCCGGAAATATGGAACTTGATTATCAAACATTATTTGGGGAAATTACAAAATCTGACATAAATCATTTCCCGTAAATGTAACAGTTGCAATTGCAACAGCCGAAACTGTCTGGATCCGCCCCTGTATCAATGGGTGAAAATGACTGCTATCAGGCGTGGTTGTCGGTCAGATCAACTTCAGTGGCATTGGGGCAACAAAAACAGCAATGGTTGCTTCAGTGACCCCGGCATCATAACGAGGCCTTAAATTTTGCTGCAGATTGCTGCCAACATATAACCGAATGCTTTATGAAAAGACAAAAATACAACAGTATCACATTCATATTTCGTTTGAAAAACTGTAGTTCGGCTTCTTTATTGAAATGACTAGGACTCAGGAGCGAATACTCCGTTACTGTTTGTTTCAAGCTACCCTGGGCAGTGTCACATGTGAAGCGTGCACAAACGACAAGAAAAATTTGTAAAAACTCAATAAAATCAGTTTTATACGGATCCCAATGTTGCTCTTATTACACAAAGGTGCCGAGGGTTCTAAGGTGGGCAAATTGTTGGAATTCCCTAAAATAAGTGGGTGATTATTGAATATGCTAGATGGAAGGCCAAATTGGTTGGCGCTTGGTCCTATGTTCTAACAGCCAATTTGGCAAAAAATAGTAAGATAAAGACGCCTGTGTAAATTGCCCCACTATTTAAAAGCGACAGCCATATTTGTTTCTATTTTGGTTGGTAATTAGTAACTTTTTTAAATTCTTTAAAGTATTATTAGATAAATCTCATTCTTAACTAGCAATTGCATAGTAACTAACGAGACTCAACTCAGTTTGGAGAGTTATTGCTAAAGGTTGTCGCTGGATTGTTATTTTAATGGGCCTTAATGAAAACAGTAAGCTTTTAATACTGATGGGCTATCTTGATTTTAGCCCGAAGCAGCAAAGTCACAATGGTAGAGAACCAGAGAGAGGAAAAATGTTCACCTTTCTTTTGACCAACGTAGCCAAAACTACCGACACAGTCAAATCTTTCGACACAGTAATCAAATATTCAACAGGGGAGAATCTAAGAAAAAAAATTTAAAACTGGGGAAAGTTTTTTAATACCACATTTAGCTCATCATATACTGTATTATAGGAAGGGATATTCTCAATAAATTTGACAAAACTTATGAAACACGAAAGGACAACAGCAACAGTTACGGAATGCAGGGTTAGGGAGGCCGGGGCACAGTTTGGGGTGGTGGGGCAGGGGGCATTGAAGGGGGAGGGGGCGTGGACAGGGGAGGGGCATGGACAGGGGAGGGGGCATGGCAAGGGGAGGGGGCATGAGACTAGGGGGAGGGGGCATGGACATGGGGGAGGGGCATTGGAACAGGGGCAGGGGCATGGACAGGGGCAGGGGGCATGGACAGGGGCAGGGGGCATGGACAGTGGCAGGGGCGGTTGCTGAAAAACTCTTATGATAGTTTTCCACCATAAGATTTGATGCCAGTGATTGAATATTATAGTTCAGCAAAAAAGTGAAGATGATTTAGCCCCCAAGCCCCTCAAGCCCCCGGCTTCTGCGTGCCTGAGGGTGATGATGATGCACTGACTCTCCGCTGATTATGATATTTACATTTCGTTTTTGCCTTCAATTTTATATCTGCTAATCCTTTACCTTATACATTAAGTTTTAACGTCACAACAAAATCCTCACTCGGTGATTAAGAAAGAAGATTTGTTTTGATGTGAAATATTAATAACATGCTAGGAGCAGCTGGCCAATGACTTGAAAGACGAAAACCCTTAAAAAACACAAATAACAGTTGACGAGTTTCATTCACGAGGAAATATAAATTCAACTTGGAGAGAATGAAGAAATTACAAAAAATTGTGTTTGTGACTTAATACTGATGAAGGATTCTAAAAAATAGACTCGTTTCATTTATGATGATCTTGCAACCATTCATTTATGATTTTTTTTAAATTGCCACAATTCATATGGCAACTCACCCTTGCAATGTTCAAGCCATTCCTGCACCTCTAGTTAGAAGCAACGGTTCCACCCAGAAAAGTTCAACATTTTCGTTTAGAAGGGAAAAAACGTGCGACTTCAACAGAAATAGAATTCAGATCTGACTTTTGGCTACTTTGAAAGTCAAGGCATACAGACTTATTTTCGAAAATATTTTCAAAGTCTTCTGAAGTAAACATTGGTCAGAAACCTTTGAACACCTTTCTCCTGACTAGAAACCATCTGGATTTGCAAGACTTACAAAAACTTGTCATGTTTCATCAGATCCTTAAAATAATACTAAACTGATTTGATTTTATACAAAAGATTTCTTAATCTCTTCAGTCGTCTAAATTTGCTTAATTATGTTTGCCAAATTACACCACGAAACACAAGATAAACAACAGATATACATACAGATATACAGATATTCAACATATTCATCCGGGTTTTTTCGTCAATATAAGGTATTTGATCAATTCCTTCAATATTTGATCGAGTAAGACATCTTAACAATTTTATAAAAAATCTGGAAGAAATATGTACAATTGAATTACTAGGTAAAGCGATAAGTAAGGCCTTTTCAAACGCGAGAGTCATCTGATATAACGTAGGCATGCAAAGAAGTATGATTTTGTTTCTTAGTATTTTTATTTCCAAGGTTAATATCGCATCAATGTTCAAAATCACATAACAATTCAGCTTTACATTGTCACTACACAACTTGTTTTTCCTTCTGTAGCTAGAAAAATAACGTTGTACTTATATCCTTTTCATGAAAATGTTTTCATTATTTTAGAAACGATAGAAACGAGGCAGTAGGGCAGAGATAAAGAAAACAATAAATCTAGCTGCCCTTAACTTGCAAGACAACGAACTCTTTATCCTCGCTAATTTAGAAGAGATCTCAATGAGATCATGCTTTTGTGTCCCGCGAATTCATAATGTGATGCTATTTTTATCTCGAGATACAACAATGCTGTTGCTACGGAACAATAAACTTAAACGAAGTGAAAGGCATCTGCCGTCATATGCGAAGCATTTCTTTCGTGAGCAAGTCACATTTCATAGAAAAACTAACGAATTCTCCAGCACCTGAAAAGCACAAACATTACCTTTTACACCACGAAGTGTTTTTTAAAAGGGAAGTGACCGCAATATTAAGAGGATTTCGCAAACGCAGAAAGCAGCTGCAGCTGGAAATGTACTTAAAGGCCGTTTGAACAACATTGATTCGTAGATAGTAAGTAGCGTTAGCCCTTGGTGTTCAAAGTTCTATGGGATTGGAATTGAAATCGCAAGATTTTCTTTCGACTTTCTATAAATGCGCGAAGAAGGTAAGACATCAACTATAGACTCGTTCTTGTGATGACTTTTATTGGTTTAATATGAAGAAAATAATATTGTAAGCCAGTCAGTGATTCTTGTTTTAAAGGCGACGAAGTTTTTCATTTTCTATATTAGGTCACCATAGCAGACATCGCCAGTTACTGAACTTCACTACTCTTGAAACGGTTTTCGATTCCAGAAAGCACACATTACAAAATGGCAATGCTAGAGTAATTTAAAGACGGGAAGTTTCAATTTAAATAGAATGTACTTCAAAATTTCTCATTAGAAAAACTTTTCTTCATTCGAATCAAGAAACTTTTCCCTCATTCGCCTTTGTTTCATTTCAGCTTGAGCACTGACTGTTGCTGGTGAAATCTGGTCATTCAACGCAAACAGAAACTAATGTTGGCAGCAAAAAATGGAGCTCGCAAGGCGAAACGGACAACCAAGACAGGGAAGGCCAAATCCGAGGCAAAATATACCTGGGAACAGGAAAGGTGGTGCTAACGCTCGTTTTAGGGATATTCGCCCTTTAAATCCCACTGCGATAACATCAATCACTTTGCCGGTTGCCGTTCTCATTGTTCTGGTAAATATAGCGGTAATCTACGTGATTCTGCGGAAGAAATCTCTGCGCAGACTTCGGAACATGCCTCTGGTAAGTCTTGCGTTTGCTGATCTTACTGTGGGTATCCTCCTTGGACCGCTTTTTGCTGCTACACAATTGTCGACAGACAGAACACAACTGTGCTCCATCTATTTTGTTGCTGAGGTATTTTGCTTTACAGCTTCGTTAATGAACATGCTTGTTGTCTCTATTGAGCGTTGGATTGCCATTTTCCAGCCCCTGCGTTACACTAGATACGTTACACCCCTTCTTGTTTGGGGCATGATCACAGCTGCCTGGCTCCTGTCACTAACTATCGCGACTTCGCAGTCCTGGATTCGCCGCCCAGTAAACAGTCGTTTTTGCGTATATTCCTGGCGTAGACTGGCTAGTTTTCCATTTGTCTTCTCCAGCATGTTTTTCTTGTTTTCGTTCTTAACGGGATTCATGCAGATCAGGATATATTTAATTGTACGATCGCATCGCAAACGCATTGCGCCGCGCTTGTCAAGTGATATCTACCAAGACGCAGAAATAACGGTAGGACAAAGTTCCTCACCAGTGCAGGCTTCTTGCTACGTTGCAAAAGCTGTAGTCCAGGAAAATCCGACCACTCGAGAAATCAACGCTTTAGAAATTTCGTTAACACAGGAATCTCGCCATGCTGGACGACGACGATCCAGAGTTACGCACGTGCTTTTCGCGAAGGAACGTACGCTAGAAGGGGACACACCAACAAGGTCCTGGAGATCCGAAAGCGGAGATATAGCCGTAAGCGGGGGTACAGAAACTCCTACACTCGTTACCATAAACCTCGAAGAAATTCCCAGGGGACAGAAAATCGTCAAGACTTTGGATGAAACGTCGCACGAACCCATCTGTATTGTTTCTCACGGCTCAGATACACCCGGCTTCCGTAGGCTGGCACAAACGCGAGCCAGTCTATTGCAATTGAAGCTAGAGAAAAAAACGATGAAATTGGTTAGTTTGCTTTACTTATTGTTCATTGTAATGTGGAGCCCTTACATCATAACGATGCTGGTGCAAGTCACGCGTCCGTGTGACAGCCGCTGTCTTATAGCAGTAGTAATAACAAAAACGATAATGTTTTTTAATTCTTTAGTTAACCCATTTGTTTTTACAATTAGAATGAAAGAATTCAGAGTAGCATTTAAAGGTATGATATGCAGGGACAGGCCTAAGAACGTCAGGAACAGGCCACAAGTAGCGAATCTTTATCAGTAAAGTAGAAATCTTAGTATTTAGCATAATAGTTTTCGATTAATTAGTTCAAGAAGAAGTTTCCAAAAACAACTGTTTGTAACGGATAACTGACAACAGTGCAGGAGACTTTTGTGAACATCGTTACTTCATAGGGCCCACGCCACCGAGGGGACCTGGGGGCAATGCCCCCAACTCTTTTTCGAAATAAGTAATTTCAAAACTGCAATAAAAGGTAAAAGAGACCTTGCCCCCAACTGTCGTTAGCTTTGCCTCCCCCACCCACTATCAAACTTTTGGCGTGGACCCTGTTCCAGTTATGGTTCGCATCAATATTGCCATTCGTTTTTTGGATGATAAAAAGTAGCATAAATCCTAAGTTCTTGCAATTTGCATGGCAAGTTTGGTTTGCTCTTTGCTGATTTCATGTGGTGCCACGAGAGACGCGATCCCTACACATTTCGAGTTGCAAACTAACTGCACTTTCCATTATGTGAAGGAAAATTCAATCTCTTAAAATATCTCTATTAATCTCAAAACGACCTCTCATTTTTCATAGTATGTTCATGCTGATTGATATACTATCGATTCCAGTTTGGTTGGGTACTAGCCTCCATTATATTTAGAACTATAACTAATTACTGCGATATAGGTTAAACGCCTGTCACAGATCTGAGAGAGTTTTTGCAGTTTTTTTAACTGCTTTAAGACAGTTTTAATCGATGTTGTTTTAACAGCATAGTTTAGAAAAGGATGTACCGGATTAATAACAATAATATCTTCCAGCTAGTGGTAGTATGATGGTGTTATAAAATAAATTTTCAGATCTTTTAAGTTTAGTATTGTATCTGACATAACATTTTTGAAAGACCCTTGCGTGAAAAACAGCTTTATTTATCAATAATTGTATGAGATGCAGTCCCAAGCACACAGACTATATATCAAATCATCGTAAATAAGTCATGGTTCTGACATTTGTGATCAAGCCAAAAGAAACAAGTATATTATTCAACTGGTCATATAAGTCATATTTGCAAAAGATGAAGCTTATTTTGCACTGATAGCAGTATTCTGCGATATGGGTTCCGATTTATAGGGCCAAAGTCAAAGGTGCGAAAATGGAATTTTGTGATGTTATCAAATACACTCATTTTTGTTATAAAAAAATGGCTGTAAGAAACGAGTAGTGGACAGTCAGAAAAATTAAAGAAACTTCAGTACTCGAAGCGAAAAAATTAATAAACTATTAAATCGTGATAAAACCGAAATTTTGTAAAATCCAAGAACGAGATTGCCCTGTTGGCCTAGAATTTAAGACACAACGGATAAAAATATACTTCCCACATCTAAATACAGATCGAAACGGAAGCGAATCTCTTGACGTGATAAAAAAGGTCACGAACATTTCATAACATCATTCATGACATCATAATTAAGAAACTCGTAAGAAACAAAGAGTATTGAAATTTCCAGAACATTAGGAAACTGGAGTACTCAATATCGACCTTTGTTTCTTATAAAAAAATGAGTGTAGCTACTCTGAAGGTTCGGGTATCGAGCACAACGGCATTGGTTAGAAATTAGTTATGGGTTGATCGCAAGATAAAGGGAATTCTTTTTCCTATGAGCAAGTCCTTTCTCCTATGTTTTCTTATGAAAAATGCGGCGTCATCGCTGATTGTAAATCGTGTTGCTTATCTTAGCTTGTTGCAAAGAATTCGCAAAACTAGGAGGTCACTGTTTTTAAATATAGCACTCGTGACGCCATTGAAAGCGATCAACGTAAACAACACTATGCGAAATAGCAAATGGTATTGTAAAATTGCAAAAAGAATTTACAAATTCCTATTCAAGTTAATCTTACGTCTCTTTTATTGTAAATAGTCTTTCATGTTGAATCGGGAGTTGTATGTAAAGAGGCAACTATTAATTATTTGTAAATATACTGGATAACTATGGAGTTGGTGATGATGTAAATTATAATGAATACAGGGGGTCATGCAATATGTCCACTTTACCAAATCCTTACTTCTTAAAATCTTCTTACCTGGGAAACTACTTTACTTTTGATTCCAGACAAAGCCATACCTCATCGAAATACACTCTTTTCTTTTTATAAGAACAATTTGTTAGAACACGAGCCTCAAAATTGGTCAAGAGACAAGAGCAATATAAGGCTAAGTTGAGGCCAAGCTTCTTTAAAATGCAATTTTGAACAACGTTTTATCTCGAAAACGTGGATTTTAGCCATGTGTGGGCTTAGTTTTTCGGTGAATATTCAAGTTTGTCAGCTAAGGCTGTCTCACGAACTTTGTTAGTAAATGAGGCCTGAACACCTCCCTAGAGCAAAAAAGCTAGCAATTACACTGCTTACACTCTATTAATCTAAGAACAAATTGAGAACAATCCGGCCTCAGATTTTCGAAAAAATTAAGAACAGTCAGCCTGAACCAAAATTTACCAGTTCTTGTAAAAAAATGGTATACCAATTTGGCTGTACAGTTTGGCTGCGATCGATGCCAGACACAATATCAGCACCGAAAAGCCACTGAACGTCTGTCTATTCGAATGCTTGGGCAAATTTTTCAAAGGACGCTTGAAATACCCAGAGAAAACGGAAAGAATAATTTAGTTGAGAAAAATCGAACGATTCATTTAAAATCATACCATATCGTAAACGTCACTTTGAACCACGTCGGAAATGATTCTAACAAAAGACACACTGGGTGGCCTAATTCAATGGCATTCTCCTTGGCAGTAATCTCCTTTACGGGATATCTTCTTTAAAACGACTGTACAATGAAATTCAAGGCTAAATATTAAAAATTCGTTTTCCAATCTATCTATAAAACAGGGAACCCCGGTCAAGGAATCGAGGAACGGAGAATCTCCAAGAGGGGGAATATATAAAAGGGGAATACCACAGTAAAACCCGCGTTTAAGAACCTACTTTTTCAGAGTTTTGCAAAATATGTTCTTGTATTTGATGACAGTTCAGGCTAAACAGGTTCTTAATTAGGTTCTTAATTTCTACAGTGTAAATATTGTTATTTTATTATCAGGAAATAGCATTAAATCTTGTCTGTTCTTCATTCTAAATATTATTAGCGTACAAATGTTGCCAAAAGTCCACCATACATTCTATAAACAGTAGCAATAACTTTTTACAATAACAGTTCAAATTTAACTTACATTTTGCATTTTGAGTTTTATTTTAATAATTCAATTTTCTGTCACCCTTTTGGTTTTTGGTAAAAAGTGTATAAATTAAATGGTCTAACTCCACATATAAGAACCTGTTAGGAGTTGTTTTGGCTAAACAGGTTCTTACATTTTGGAGTATTAAAAAGCAAATTTTCATAGTTGGAATCTCTAAAAAGAGGAATCTCTAAAAGGAAGACTTTATAAAGGGAGCCATAAGCAAATATCCAAAGAGGGAATCTTTTAAAGGGGAATCTCTAAGAGGAAGAATATCTAAGACTCTATAAAGGGGAGCCATAAGCAAATCTCCAAAAAGGGGAATCTCTAAAAGGGGAAATCTCTATAAGGAGGAATCTCTAAAAGGAAGACTCTGTAAAGGGGAGCCGTAAGCAAATCTCCAAAAAGGGGAATCTCTAAAAGGGGAAATCTCCAAAGGGGGGCCAAATAAAACATTAAACCGATAATACCTTAAGGTAGGCAACAAAGCATCCAATAAACAAATCTGCAAACAATCTTTTATAGTTGGAATCTCTAAAAGGAGGAATCTCTAAAAGGAAGACTCTATAAAGGGGAGCCATAAGCCAATATCCAAAAGGGGGAATCTTTTAAAGGGGAATCTCTAGAAGGAGGAATCTCTAAAAGGAAGACTCTATAAAGGGGAGCCATAAGCAAATATCCAAAAGAGGGAATCTTGGGTACACATGGTCGATGATCATCAAACTCGGTGTTTCATAAATACACTCAAAATGTGAATTTTCTATGCAACTTATTTGTGTTCAATTGGGTACAGTCTATTTACAAGGGCCTTTACAGTGAAATTTCAATCACTTATACTGACATAATATCTCAAAATCAGGTAAATTGACTTCAAAAAATTTCGTCGTGACAAAATCTTGGAAAAATATTTTGACGATATTTCCCTTGACTAAATACAAAATGAGACAAAATTTCTCACGACGAACTTTTTTTGCATTTAGCATTTTTGAGAATTCGCATAAAAAACTATTACATTATTTATCCTTTTGATCCATTCAATGTCAATTATATCATTTTCCCCATTTACATCAATTTATCCGACGAAATTTTTTGGTGTTAATGTTCCTTTATGCAACCAAATAATTCTTTCAATTTTGAAATACTCAAAACCAATCATTTCCTTTTTGTTTAAGAGCGAAGTAACTTATAAAATAATTTTTTTACTTGACACATTCTCATTATAAGGAGAAGCATGGCAACGGAAAAGTTACAATAAAGCTACAATTTTAGATTTATTGCTTGACATCTTTCTGATATTCTTATAATTGAAAATTTTGGACCAAAAACCTGCCGTAATTTTGGTTTTAGTTTCCAGTAATTTTCCCAATTCATTCAATGACGTCACAAATTTGTTGTTGCATGGCGAAGGCATGCAGAAACGTTACTCATCTTATGAAAATTGAAGTTAAAACGACTAAAAGCGCTCTATGGTTTCCTTTACGAGGGTCACTCCGAAATTATTGAGATTTTCAAAAACGGCTTATGAGAATAGGCTCAAATTTTTACAGCTTTTCAAAATACTCTCCATTAGCATCTACGCAAAGTTTCATTCTATTAAACCAAATAGAAAAACAATTTGTCCATTTGTCACCAGGAAGGTCCGAAATCGCCTCTTTAAACGCGTCTACGGCTTCATCCGGACTATCAAATTTCGTTCCACGCAGTTTTTCTTTGATGGTAGGGAAAAGGAAAAAGTCACAAGGTGCCAAGTCGGGTGAATATGGTGGGTGGGTGACTAACTGAATGGAATTTTCGTGCAGAAAGTCAACTGTCAATGCTGCAGTGTGAGCTGATGCGTTGTCATGGTGCCATAGGATCCCGCGCAAACCAGTTTTCGGACGTTTTTCTCGCCATGCATCTAGCACTTTCGGTATGCACTGGTTTACATACCAATCCGTGTTAACTGTGCGGCGATCATCAAGAGGAATCGTTGCCACGTGGCCCGTTTTTCCAAAAAAAGAAGCGACCATCTTTTTGCCGACGCTTCTGGAGCGCTTGAATTTTTGTGGTGGGTGCTCCCCCGGAAAGATCCAGACTGACGACTGGCGTTTCGTTTCTGGGTCAAATTGGTAAATCCAACTTTCATCACCTGTGACGATGTCATACACACGTTTGGACCTTCCACTATCAAACTTTTCAAGCATAAATTGGCACCAGTTTACCCGATGCTCTTTCTGTGCCTCTGTTAAGCAATGGGGTACCCAGCGAGCTGCAACCTTTCTTACTTCAAGATGATCATGCAAAATTTTATTTAATGCTGTCGATCCAATGCCAACTTTTTCCTGCATCACTTCATAGGTCAATCGGCCATCTTCTTTGAGTAGCTTTTCTACAGCAGCTATAGTTTCTGGGACCACAGCCGTTGGTGGTCTTCCCGGGTGGGGGTCGTCTTTCAGACTCTCCCTCCCTTGTTTAAATTCTGCAAACCATCGAAAAACAGTTGCCCTTGATGGTGCACGATCTTCAAAAGTTGCAACTAGTTGTTGTAGACACTCCTCTTGTTTTAATCCCTTTTTAAAATCGTAATATATCATTGCGCGAAAATCGCGTCTTTCAAGCTCCATTTCGAAAATGAAATTTACAGCGAGAGTCCCCTCTTTTAAAAGTTTGTTAAAAAGATATCTTTGAGTGGAAATGGACAAGAATTTGCAAACAACGCTTATAAATGTGTAAGTTTAAGGAAACCTGTTTTATAACGTTGGATTTGGCGCGAATTTTGAAAATCTCAATAATTTCGGAGTGACCCTCGTAATTAAACAAAGAAGACTAAAAACGGAAAATCACGTTGTAAGTAGTTATCTAAACAACTCGTATCTGTGCGCACTAAACAGCTGATCGAAAAGATTTAATCTAATCAAAACACAGGATTTATCAGTTACAATCATTTTGTTTGAATAAAAACTACGAAATATTGACTGGATCAGATTTTTAATAGAATTTGTTTGATACCATCATACGACGCATGAAATATTTGCTGTTTTTTGATAACAAGATGTTTTGATATTTTAACAGATTGTTTTGGTAAGCAGTGGTAAGACATTCAAAAACAAAGCATTATAAATAAAATGCTTCTGATATCATGATGCTACAAGCTGTAATGTAACTTTGTGGTACACGATAACTGTGGAATTCGGTTTCACGAATGTCAGATTTCATTTTCATCGGGCAATTAATTTTTTGCGTTACTTCTTGTAATTTTAAACGTCTACCTCATTTGATTTAGATACGGATGGGTTCTCGCTTGAGCATTATCGCATCGCTTTGCTTGAGCATTGTCGTATCGCTTTCCGTCTTAAATTCTAGATTTAATTGCCCGGAATATACTTAGCGAGTACTAAAAGCTAAGAACGGATAGATTGCAATTCGGAATTTCAGCACAGGGGAAGTGCTTTATAAAGGGCAGACTTCAGAAATTCTCTGACGAAGAGGCTGAACTTCTTGACAGCGGTCCAGAGAGTCGGTGATTCCACCCCCTTATTTGACACCACCCCAGATTTTGCACCACAAAAGCACGTATTGAAAGTTATACCAAAGACAGAAAATAAGTATGGCAAATCTTTCTGAGGTTTCGGCAATTACCATAGAGGTTCCAAAGGCGCCAACAATCTCTGGACAATATTGTTACGCAATGCCTTAAAATAGACAATATTGCAGTCATGTATTCTAATTCAGCAACAGTATCGCAAAACAAAACTTACTGAAAATTTTTGCTTTTCTTGTGTTCTTTTTCACCCTTGGACTCTATCGGCAATATTATCTATTGGCATGTGGTTCTGATTGAGCAACAGTCATGCCCTTGCGTTTTCTTGTTGGCTTATTTCAATCGACAACTGTGCACATATATTTCCTAGCTTAAAATTTTTCTATCAAACTTCTGATGTATTATACTTCGAAGAGTGTCCGACTGAAAGCTAAACATGTTTCGAAATGCTTGCTTTTCTAAAAAAAAATTCAAGCGCTGCGACACAAGTTGCATATCGATTGCAGCGTGATTAAAAAATGCCCTGAAATATGAAGATTTCAAATCTTTGGAAATCCTTTTGTTCTGGCACAGAACCAGGCAGCACTTTGGTACTGGCACATAATTCAGGAATACTTTTGCACTAACAAAGAACTCGGCAGCATATTTGTTGGGGCACAGAGTTCGGTAGCTCGTTGTATTGGCAACGCACATTCTGCAAAAATGAAAATTTGCAAACATTCATCAGTAATAATTTGATTATTTCACTTACTGATGTATAATTTTTTAGTAACATTGTCATATTTTCTAGTAGTTTAGCTATTTGTTTGTTTGAATGACTCAATAGCTTGCATCATTATTATTGTTGTTATTATCATCATCATGATTTCAAAAATGCCTTTGGCGAAGTACATCATAATTTGATACCCACTATACTGTCTTATCATCATATCCCTGACAACATACAACTTCTTATCTCTAGCCTTTACACCGATTTTAAAACCTCTATCATCAAAAGCCACTATAATACTCCTGCTATTCCAGTCCGTCGCGGTGTTCTTCAAGGTGACTGCCTCAGTCCTCTACTATTTAATCTATGCTTCAACACATTCATACAGTACATAAAAGCTGAAAAATACAAACATTTAGGTTTCTCCCCACATGATGAGAACGACCGTATGTTTCAACCAGTCCATTGGTTTCAATTCGCAGACGATGCTGCCGTTATCACAAGCAATGAGAAAGAAAACCAACTTCTACTGAATTGTTCCACTCGCTGGTGCCAATGGGCTAACATGATCATATGTGTCGATAAATGCACCACTTTTGGAATAAATAAATTTTCCACACATTCTCTTCAGTATCAACCTAAGCTTTTCATAAACAACAAACCTATCCCACCTGTCTCGAATGGAAATTCTTTTAAGTACCTCGGTCGTCATTTTGACTTTGAAATGACAAACCAAGAATATAAATCTGATCTTTTATCATCACTGTCCAACATGCTTAAACAAATCGATTCCCAGCCTCTTCATGCAAAAAATAAGCTGCATCTTTATCACAACCTTGTTCTTTCTGAAATCTCCTGGAACCTTACTGTAGCAGATCTTTCAAAGACGTGGGTTGTCGAGAACCTTGACAACCTCGTATCCAAATACATCCGCCAATGGCTCGACCTCCC